GACATTTTTGGCTCACATTGTTATATACTTTATAATAGGAGTTGTGATAGCTCAAAAAACATTTCCAAATATAAATTCTCGTGCTTTTTTTTACATTGTAACAGTCTACCTTTCACTGAATCTTGTAAGGTAAATACTTGCTCTTTTTACCTTTTGGGGGAATTGACTAACATTGCCTATCAGCTTATATCAATTAAGTAATATTCTTAAGTTGCCGTCTTCTAAACATTTGGCTGGAAGTAAGCCGCAGTCAAACATGCATGCATACACAAACACACATACAGAGAAAGAATATTAAACCCACTCACACAGATCAGTATTTACATGTTGATTCACACCACCCACTGGAGCACAAAACGGGAGTTATCAGAACCCTACACTACAGAGCTGAAGGCCTGCCTACCAGCAAAGAAGGAAAAGAAAAAGAAATAAAACACATCAAGGAAGCCCTCAGAACGTGTAGCTATCCCAAGTGGGACTTCATCAAATCTCAAAAAAGACCTAGCAAGAGCTCCTCCGTAACAGATGAAGAAAACAATAAATGAAGCAACGTAGTCATTCATATGTTGCAGGAATATCAGAAAGGCTCAGGAGGATCTTCAACCAACACAACATATTTACACACTTCAAACCTAAGAATACACTAAGGCAGAAGCTTGTCCACCCCAAGGATAAAACAACTAGACACAAACTGAGCAAAGTGGTATATGCAGTACAATGCAGTGAGCCATGTGCAGCCATGTGGGGAAATGAAACAACAACTTCATAGATGTATGGCACAACATAGGAGTACAAACCCATCAGAACAAGAATCAGCAGTCCATCTGCATTTACAAGAGAAAGGCCACTCTTTCGAAGACAACAAAGTCCACATTTTGGACAGAGAGGACTGCTGGTTTGAAGGAGGGGTCAAAGAGGCCATCTATGTCAACATTGAATAGTCCTCTCTCAACAGAGGGGAGGGATACGACATCATCTATCTCCAGTCTACAACACAGTCCTTTCAACAGTTCCAAGAAGGCTCCACACACATTTGCACTACTCAGGTGACCCTGGAGACATAGATAAGCCTCCAGGTAGCATTAACAACTTGCTAAAAGAATACAAATGAACAGCTGTCTGAAGGAGTATAAATCTTTCCATTCCCCACCATCCAGTCAGAGCTGAAGAAGCTTCTTGGATGAGAAGCAAAATGTCTTCAAAGAAAAACAAGAAAGTCCTGTTCCCTCCTAAAAAAGCATCTTTGGGATAACTGTGACCTGGATGACTGAGAATCTCCATAGACTCTTAGTGCTACAGTTATTGTCACCTCGAACTGTGAGATGAGCGGCATGAGTGGCATATAAATTTGGTAAACAAACAAATAAGAAGCTGTCAAAAACCTTTGATTCAAACTATAGAACTGTTTCCCATTAAATTTCTGCTGTTGAATATAGAAAATCTTCCATAATGGTTGAAATGAATTATGCCAGTGTTTTAGGTGCTGCATATACCATACCCCGGGGGGGGGGATCAATATCTACAATGTGTGTGTGTGTTAAGCTTTCTGGAAAACTCCAAAACTTCCACATTTTTGACATTATGTGTCATACATACATATATACACACACACTATGTCAAGAATGTGGAAGTTTTGGAGTTTTCCAGAAAGCTTAACTTAAAAAAATATTAAACAGGACAGGAAAAAAAGAGGTAGAAAGTTTAAAAAAAAACCTGAAGTCAGAGTCATCCTTTTTGTGGGCATTGTAAGCTGTGTTTAGAGCTCAGTAAATTACAGTATAACTTAAAACCAATCATAGTGATCTTAATCAACATGAGAGTATTAAGATTTTGTAACACCTATGTTTTGGGGGAAAAAGATATGAAGAGAGTATTTGAATAATACACTGGAAATCCAATGTAGCTTAATAGTTATGTTGTTTGATTTGAGGTGGAGAAACTCAGGGTCTTCCCATTACGTACACAAATAAGTCTCCAATTATAGAGGAGTTCACTGCATAACTTTGAGCCAATTACTTTTTCTCAAATTAATCAGCTTCATAAGATTATGGGAATAAGGGAAAACTCCCGTGTATGTTGTTTAGAGCTTCTAGAGAAAAGACAATGTTTATATGAAAGAAACAATAATGTGACATATTTTTGTTTAATAACAAACTTTTATATTGATTGATAAATGCAGTCTTTTATCTTGTAAATGATAAAGATTAATTATTTCTTTAATAAATGTATTTTAATTTTTGATCATGATATAAAATTGCACTATTTTAAATATGTTTTTGCTAATTTTTACATTTTATTTACTTAGGTTTTTAGTTATTTTGACATTGAGTCCTTTTTTGAGTCGACTTGGCTATGGATTTAATTGGCGTTGGGGAGCTATTATTGTTTGGAGTGGAATGAGAGGCACTTTTACTTTGAACATGGCTCTTCAAATTAGCCAGACACAGAGTGAGACTCCAGCTGAGGCTAGCATTAAGACCCAGGTAAAAATAAATTAATATCTTGAAAATCAACATTTCTAATAAATTTATATTAGGAATTAAACCTATGGAAATCTTTTTAGCAAAATGTCGTCTGGAGCTGCTTTTTAAAGCCTGGAGGCATACCCAGCACATTGGACATTATAATAAAAATATAGTTCAATTTGATTTGTAAAATATATGAGATTTTTATTTTTATTAAAAATATAAAATAGGCATACAGGTAGCTCTTTACTTATGGCCATTCATTTAGTGACAATTTGAACTTACGACTATTGCAGCATCCCTATGGTTGTAATTGTGATTTGGGCTCTTGGCAACCATCGTGTATTTATGGTGTGTGCAGTGTCCTATGGCCATGTGAATATCATTTGTGACCTTTCCAGCTAGCTTCCAACAGGCAAAGTCAAGCTGGCAGGAAAAGTCTCACATCGGAATCATATGATGTCTCATTTAACGACTGTGGTGATTCATTTAATGACCACATCACAAAGGTAATAAAATATTGTGTAGTCACATGTGCTCAACAACAAATTTTCCAGGCCAAACTTTGAGCAGTCACTAAACAAATAATTGTAAATACTTGTAAATTATTTTGTTTAAAGGGATGTTAACATGATCAAACAAGTATCTTATTTTTTATTTTATTTATCAATTTTATTGGTCACCCACCTTACCAGAGGGTAGCTCTGGGCAAATTACAATATTAAAAAGATAAACTATATAAATAAAATACTATAGAAATATAAAAATACAAAATATAATAGCTAAAAGATGGGGGGACAGAGTATGATGATCAGAGGGGAGGTGAGATTAGATATTTATTTATAAACCATCCCCATCATGAAGCCCCTCCTTTGGAGCCCCAAGCCAACTGACAGAGCCAGGTCTTTAGGCTCTTGTGGAAGGTCAATAGAGTTGGAGCAGACCTCACTCTGGGGAGCAAGATGTTCAAAGGGCAGGAACAATGGCAGAGAAGGCCCTCCTGGACCCTGCCAAGTGGAATACCCTGCCAATGGCGCCTGCAGCATGCCCCCTTTGCTGGCATGGGTGGGGCAGGCCAATCCCACTGGTATGAGACAGCCCCTTAAGTAACCTGGACCCATGCCATGAAGGGCTTTAAAGGTGATTACCAATACATAATCTTTTTGATTACTGAAGTACACAGACATTTATTTGTATTTATTTATCAAACTTATATGCCACTATCTCACCCAAGGTGACTCTCTTATACTACTCATCCTACTGATTCTAGTGGCTTAATACCATATAATACAAAAACATTCAATAGTTTGAAATTTTATTCTGCAGCTTGCTATTTGGTTTGGATGAAACAATGGAGGCTGCTGAGAAGTACAGTAGAAAACTTTTGAAGTTAGAAGGACATGACCTGAGGTTTCAGGGCATGGATATTTGTGGCATAATAGAAAGTCAAAGTTAATGTGGATTTCAAAAATCATTATGTTAGATGTACTATATTGAGAATATTGAATCGATATAAATCCAGGTTTTACCCCCCAAAAAACCCTTTGTAGTTTCTGCACAGGAAACATGTTATAGGCAAGAAGTAATAGGCAAACACCAATGGCTAACTTATAATGAGATATTAGAATTTTGTCAAGAGAAATGGAAAATAAAATCAAGAGAAGAACTAATGGCAGGGGGATATAGTTGCCAATAGTTGTCATATTTACAATTTTTTAAAAAATGTAAAATAGGCAACATTTATGGTTTTTAATATTGTTAAGACTGAGTGAAATAGAATCACATGTACAAATAAATATAGAAACGCTAAAATGTATAAACTTTTGTTAAAATTTGAAACAGAAGATCCAGTCAAACAATGTATAATAAGGAGGGTTAAACATTTTAATTATAATATATGGATGGAATAATGGGAAAGCATGATCTCTGAGGGAGATGTGTTAAGAAATATTATAAATCAATCAATCAATATCAGTTTTCTAATAAGTGCTAGCTAATTCCATCCAAAACATTTCTGGAAGATCAGGGAAAAGCAGTATTTTAACTGTTTTCCTGAATATTAATATTCAAATATATTTAGAAGTGAAACTAATGAGTTTCTGCTTCAAGATCATTGCCTCAAGATAGTAATCAGTCTCTCTTGCTCTAGAATGGATGGTTTGATTGTTTTGCAGTTCACAGTACTCTTGGTTAACATCTCTAAACAAATAATTTGAAGGTATCTTTTGTTCTTTTTCAATGTCCAACTTTTACAGTTACATTTTATCACTAGAAAGATACTGTTTTACCTACTCCAATTTTTGTTGTGATATAAATATTTATCTTCCATGATTTTGTTTAATTGTGTCATTGCCTTTCTCCCTAGAATTTTAGTGCTTAAAGCCCCAGCTTTTATTGCAATTATTTTCTAATCTTCTCATTATAATTTCAAGTACAATAGATCTGGAGGCAAATACATCTTGGTCTCAACTCCCTTTCTGTTTCTTCAAATTCAGTTCTTACAGTAAATTAGTGTTGATTGTAAAGTTTTTTGTTAAAATATTGAGTGAGCAATTAGTGGTAGTGAAGGGGTAGGTGGAGAACCTAAATTAATGCTTTTTCTTTTTTAGCTCCTTTTTTTTATGGGGAATAAACTCTGGTTTCAATTCAAAATCCAGGACTATACTACTGTAATTAGTTATGTTTAATTTTGTTTTGTCAACTTATCAGGTGAAATTGTACTATATGTATCTGTATTATTCTTTCTACTTTGCCTTGCTCTCTTAAAATATGATATCATAAATGTACAAACATTTTATGAGGTTGCTAATTATAACAATTTTTGTGTTTCAGATATTAATGCATTCTGGAACTGCATCACTGTTAACCTTGATTATTAATTCAACCACTGTGAAGACGCTGGTTGTAACCTTAGGTGACACCTTAAACATACCATTTTAAAAATATTTGTTTTTCTATTCAGTTTCTACCAGGTAGACTGTGTACATTTTCCTGGAAATATTTCCTACTGAATGCAGTTGGACATGTCTGAGTTAGTCTGTCAGATTATGCTATTAAATGTATTGAATACTTGCATATTATATATCAAATGCAAATTTGAGGAAAATGCTGTAATTTGATTAACATCAATGTAGCCAATTTTTAGTTAAGTAAGAAAATTATATGTAAAATCATCTACTTTTCCAGTAATTTGAATTGGAATCCTTTAATGAAGTTTTTAAGGTGCAAACATTATCTGGATAAGAATTTAACTTCAGATTTACACAGAATTTCAAGCCAAGTTTAACTGGAGCTGCATACACAAACAAATTTCTACATATGAATGCACACATAAGTGTGCTTTAAATTTATATCTATTTTAATAATTTTCCATTTTTATACTTTGATTGTCAAATCACAAACATTCTTTACATAATGTATGGTACGTAATATCTTCATATTCTAAATTGTAATTCACAGTCCAAATATTAATACATCTTCATAATTTTAATTTATTTGAAATACACCAAGATGGCAGTTCTCTACAGATGGACTCTGGGTTTCTCCCATTTAACTTCTGAACAAATACAAGAGTGAACTGTAACTAACTAACATTTAAAACTCAGTATTAAAATAACTTGTAGTTGCAATAAAAGGTTACTTTGCAGGACACACAAAACAGCCAAAGTCAGCAATGGTGCCAAAGGAAGGAAATTTTAGAAAAGAAGTGGAATAGGGCAGAGAGTTAAGAAAATAGCAGGAGAAAGTGAAAGAAAGCATGGTGGGGAGGGAAAGGATCCTTTATGAAGCATAAGTGGTGATAATAATGAGATTGTATATAACCTCTGGGAAAAATTGTAAGGAAACTTCAAGAAAAGAAAAAAAGACATTGCATACAGAGAGTTAGTGATATGGACTGAGAAGCAATGTAAAGGCAAAGATATGAGCAGGAGAAAAAAGTGGGAAATGTGACAGAGGTTAATGGGTGGAAATAGAGTTAGCAATTGAAGTCAATGCTTCTCTTAAAACTGAATATAAAGTTTCCTTCAAGTTGAGCTATTTTATTTTAAAATTTTATTTTATAGGCTACCCAACCCCCAAACAATTTACAATTTAAAAAAATCCAACAGATTAAAAATGCAATTGACATAGAAGAGCAAAATGCAAAAATAAACTAAAGCAGATTGAACCAAAACAAAAGCTTGGCTCTGCAGTCATCTTGTCCCCAAGGCCAAAGAGAACAACGAGTTCTTCAATAATTTCCTGGTGGGTGGGAGTCACATTCCAGAGAGTAGGAATTGCAAGAGTCATTGCTTATTCCTGGAGATTTCATAGATGCATTTCTGAGGGAGAAGGGCAGTTCAAAAATGTGAAAAATAAATAAATTTAAGTTGCCACTGCCGTCTTTTGCAAATTTTCTTTATTTGCCAGTCTTGTCTATGGTTCAGGAGATTTCGATCTGAGTATTACCCAGGTCTGATCATGCTTAGTTTCTGTGTTGACACCTGCTGAGTTCTTAGCTATACCAATGATCAATATTAGAGAAAGTATAAAGATTTGATCCACCAAGGAAGGCGTATCTTCAGATTTCTTCTGTTCTATATATTTTTTAAAGAAATTGTCTTTTTTCTAAACTATTAAACTACTTTGAAATTGCTGTTATTAACATTACTAACATTAGATTATTTCTTAGTCATTTCTTAATTTACTGAAATTTTTATGTGCCAAAATTTTGGCAAATATGACCTATATCATGCATGTTATAGAAGTGTTGCAGACCTTCCTGGGTACCAAGTTTTATGAACAAACGATTGTTCCATTTTTAAAATCCATGACATTTTCACATAATGTGTGAAAGTACTATTAAAATCTTAGGTCCATCTCTGAAAATGATAGTTTATAGGCTATCATTGATGCTTATGTATTTCATACACACTTCATAATAACCAATTATTTTTCTCTTACTACAGGGCTTTGTAATATCACTCTTCCAAAGCGTATGGCAATGTTTAATGCTGTTCAACGTATTAGAAAAATAGAGGCCAACACTTTTGCAATGCTAAAACTTGATCGGTTTTTGGCTGATGCAAACTGGACAATGGCAGAAAAAGCAATCAAAATAGATTATCCTTATAGAGTAAGTAATAAAATGTTAAATAAAAATATAGTTTAGAAAACATGTAAATTAGTATTATGGTATTTACAGCTTTGCTATGACTAAATACAAGAGATTAGCTTTCATCATACAATTGAACTGGTCATTATTCAGCTTGCAGTGAGAGGTTTGAAGTTGCAAATACGCCTAGGTAGATATGTGGAAAGGATAAAGGCTGCTTGAGAATTGAGTAGGAAAGGACAGTATAGTTGTAAGTGGCGAGAAAGAAGTATGGAGGAACTAGATGGAGAGAGTGATATTAATATAAAATCAAAAAGAATATTTACAATTAGGACAATTAGAGTGAAGAGTTTGACCATCAGTTTTAATGGAATTTGCACCGTTTGGTTTTTGACTACTTTTGTTGCCTAGTAAAATCAACTAATCACTATGTAATTCAGCTGCTATTTTTACACACACATACACACATAGCTATATGAATTGATGGCAGACTTCACCTCCCCCCCCCTTGCTCTCTCCTCTCCACCCTTCCATCTTTTGAGTTATCATATTTATGTATTTATTTTTGTTGTGTTCCTTTGTCATTGTTTATTTTATTCTATTATTTTACTTTCTTTTTTCTTCCTTTTTATTACTGTAAGCCACCTAGATAAGGCGGCAAATAAATTTAACAAACAAACAAATAAATAAATAAAAAAATGTGGAATTTATAAGAGAATTATTTGAGAAAATGAAAAAATATTATTGTTCCTGATCTTAATGTTTGGGTGTAATGTGTATTTTATGTAATTCATCCATTTGTGTAAAGTCAATCTTTTCAGCTAATAAAAAATGATACAATATGTTTTCCTTTGGCATAGATGCCATGATACTTTTTAACAATTGATTTTTTAAAATGTAAAATCTTATATTAACATTTGATATGCTTAGTTTATTTTTTTCTGTTTTATCATATTTTTTCTTTTTTTCTTTTAGTTTTTGTAATAATTGGAGGGTTGTATTTTTTATACTTTTATACTTTTTAAACTTATAAATTAAATATATATATTTAAAATCTATAGATTCTGCTTATCTGAATATCCATTAACAGATTGCCTGTTATCTGTAACCCTATTTATTTATTTATTTATTTATTTATTTATTTATTATTTACTTACTTATTTATTTAATTGGTGTTATTGTTATTAATATACATTGCTTATTTCCAAAAGATTATTGAAAAATATTGTTCTTCCCGATTGACTGAATAATATAACATCATTATTATTGTTTTTAGTTACACTACTGTTCTTTTCTTCCTCCTGCAGTTAACTGCAGAAGAAGTTAATCAATTGATCAGATTACTTAGATGTCCAGAATGCAATGCAGATATTACATTTGAGAGAGATCCTGAGCAAATTGCTGAAATATTTGAGGAAGCCAGGTTACGTCTCTTAACTGCACAGATAGTTAGTATTTTTATTTTCCTTAATGTTTTTTGTTCTAAATATCATATTTAATGTATGTAGTCTGAGAGCAAAAGTATTTAGCAGGACTAGTAAGAGCTTTTGGGGTCCCCTTATTCTTACTCCCCCAATAGTTCCTTGGTGGTTTCAACCACTTCATTTTGCTATTAAATATTATTTATCCATCCAGAGTCATGTATTCTGCCCATAGTCATATATTTGAGATGGGCGGCTATATAAATTGAAGTAAATGAATATACACAATATAGTAATAAAACACTTGTGAATTGCATTCACTACTAAATCTGAGATGTCGCTACCTACACCCCACATGTGAACTGCTTAAAGGGCCCCTTTAAAAAAATAGTTGGAGCAAGCTGAACTGACATTCAGTGGTGAAAGGGAGAAAAATCAGTTAATGACCAGTGGCCTAGTAAACTAAATTGTTTATATTCTCTGACCTTATCTCAAAAATAGTATAGTTGACACGCTGACCTACTAGGAAGGGATAAATTATAAGATCATTCAAATGGGTTTGTCAAAATCATTTCAGTGTCATCCTGTAATTTATACTGTTTTTGCTTTTTCCTTTTTCTTGCCTTTGCAGTATAGTAGGCCAAGGGTTGCATCATAGTAGGCCTAAGGATAAATAAGACCTAGTTCTCCTTCTGCTCAGGGCGGCAACAACTGTTAGGTCTGCTTTACTCCTTTGTCTCATGAAATAATTATGTTTAATAACAATAACAGTATTTAAGCATTTCAGGATTTATAACTCTGCTGTGTTGTAGTCTTATTAGGGTTTGTGTTAACATATTGGAAATTGCTGTCAAAACTGTTTGGCAAGACACTTTCCATATCAGAACCGGAGTTAAGAGATTCAGTTTCTAATATCCTCGGCCACCAAAGATTCCCTAGGTGACTAGACCAGTCATTCTCTTTCAGCTCAGTGTATCTCAAGGAAAGTTATTGTGGAAAAAATCATAAAGAGTACTACATATTCTTTTTTTTACCTCTACAAGAGCCTTTTTGGGATTTCAGAGGTTTCCCCAATCTGCATTTGCCACTTTAGACCGGTATAGGTTTTTTAACAAGAAGGTGGTTTTGTTACCAAAATAGTAAATCCATCCTATGGCATCATAGCTGAGCTAGGAGAGTGAATTTTGAATCAGGTGTGAGTTTAGATGAGCCCTTTGCTTACTATTTAGACTCTCAGAATCACTTAATAGTAAGATGGGCAGCATATAAATAAGTACAGAAATAAATAAATAGTGGCATAACTTCAAGCCCTTTAAATGGCAAACTCAGGAAGCAAAAAATACTGTAGGTGGATTTCTGGAATGATCTTTATTTGTGCTAGTTAAATTAAGGAGGAGTTATTCTAAGTTTCTTTCTCATTCTCCCCTCTCCTACCTAAGGATATTTTTATGTAATGATCATGTTCTTCTCTGGGTCTGCAAGATACTTCGTCCTAGGAATTTTATTCCTCAAACATACACATACCTTCCTAATGATACTCTCAGGTTATTTCACTAACTTGTTTAGCAGACTGGATATAATCAATTGATCAGATTACTTAGATGTCCAGAATGCAATGCAAATATTACATTTGAGAGAGATCCTGAACAAATTGCTGAAATTTTTGAGGAAGCCAGGTTACGTCTCTTAACTGCACAGATAGTTAGTATTTTTATTTTCCTTAATGTTTTTTGTTCTAAATATCATATTTAATGTATGTAGTCTGAGAGCAAAAGTATTTAGCAGGACTAGTAAGAGCTTTTGGGGTCCCCTTATTCTTACTCCCCCAATAGTTCCTTGGTGGTTTCAACCACTTCATTTTGCTATTAAATATTATTTATCCATCCAGGGTCATGTATTCTGCCCATAGTCATATATTTGAGATGGGCAGATGGATATAGTCCAATTATGCTAGGAAAATAGTGTATGGGGACAATCGTTCTTCTATATCACATCCCCATTTTAATAATGCTTTTAACTAGCCAATAAAGAACAAAGTGATGGGTTTGAGGAAAGATGATTGCAGTACTGGCTAAGGTGATGGAAGGCCATCTGCATTCAGCACTGTGGACTCAAAACACTCTGCCTCCAAACAGTTTCAGGTATAAATTTTTCTGCTAGTTTCATACTAACATGAAATTATATTACATGACATGGTGTGACATTACATTACATTACATGAAAGAGCATACACAAATAACTTTTTCACCAAGATATCTTTGCTAGGTCCAAATATATTTTTCACCGGTTATAAGTTCTGATCTCCAGATTAATTGAGGCCCCTAATTGTTTGATTTCCATTTTGTTATTTTGAAATGGTGTTTGCTGGTAATGGGGATTATGGTTTGGAAATGAATGAATGCATGTAACCATTATTTAGATGCTATTTAACATTCATAGAACCTATACTCCCTGCAAACAGGATCTTTTGCACAAAAATTACTTTGCTCTTTTTTATAGAAGACTATAATTTTCTTTTGAAGTTCTGAAGTTTAGGGGTTCATTTGAAGTATTTGATTATCTCTTGAAAGGACGGCAGATTTGTTTTGTCTTTAGGTCATGAACTTTATCAGGCTCAAAAAGTTCTGAATGGTAAAATTTAATATATGGTATTAACTGGAGTCATTTTTCTGTTTTCATGGGGAATGGAACTGCCTTTTTCTATGTTCTGAGAAAACAGTGGCCTGAGAAGCAAAAGGAAATCAACTTTTTTTCATCCACTACTTGGTATTTTTTATGATAAAGAGAAATCACAGGTGCTACATGACCCCTAGTAAGCAATTAGAGTTTTAAGATGGAAAAACATTCTCAGTAACTGTTACAGATAATTCAAGCTGACTTCCATTTAAACAGCAGAATGATTGCAATCCCACCCGTTTTTTCTCTCAGAATTAGAATGGTTGAACTCTAAAGATGAGTATCAGTTAATAATGGTTGAATTGAAGATTGAAACTTTAAGCAGTCACATATCAAAATAATGTGATATCAGAGATTAAGAACCACATAGAACTGCTGCTTCATATCAGATGTGATAATGCTTCTCAGTGGAGTCCATAAGCAGATTTAGTTCAACTAACAGGGTCCTATGACTAGATGCAGGCAAGCAATAGAATGAATATATTTTACATATATATAATTGCTTTATGGGTTAAATAGTAAACAGTTCTGGAATTCTATTTATTCAGACTTTTTTTTAAATATAGGCTAGTTATCAGAAGCAATATAACAGTGGAATGCTGAACCAAGATGCTGCCCAAATATTAATAGGTGCGGCAGAAAGCTATGTCGATATTAAAGGAAAGTAAGTGCTTACTAATTAATAAAAATAATGCATATGCAGCTATTGTAATTCAATATTCCAAATGAGAAGAGTAGATACTGTAATTTGATACATTGAAGCTATTGTTGTAATTACTTTGATTGACATGTATAAAATATTACACTTTTATTTTGTTTATTTATTTTATTTAATAAAATGTATATGGCCACCTAACTCACTCTCATTGACTCCAAGCAGCTTGCAAAGATAAAAATCCAATATAAAAAGCACGACACCCCACTCTCCTGGCAGATGTACATTTTTTAAAAAAAATGCAACATACATGTAACAAAAAATATATAGCCAGCTGTATAAAATATCATAAAAGTGAAACGAAGCAAAAGTTATGACTGTCACTAATTACGACTGGGCTTGGCAGGCTCCTACAGGTCTAAGAGTTCCTGAATGAAATCTATTCATATACTAAACAGACCTGCTTCCAAGCCCAGTCTTGAAAGGCCAATGAAGTAAAGAGCTTTCAAATAAACTCAGTTCCTCATATTTCTTTATTCACAGCTTGGGAATTCATTAAAGTGTTTATAAAAGGATTATAATATTCATCTCTTTGGCAGTAAATATAAAGCAAACTGCACAAAGCTATTTTGTTCAAAGATTTGAAATAAATAGAATCAAAAGCCAGAAGAATCAAATGCTGAATATGGGAGGGGGAGGGGAATTTGTAACTACGGTAATTAAATCTTTTGGAAGGAGATGACTCTTACAAGAAAATGAATTTTTAGTAAGCCAAACTTCAAGGAAATTAACAGCTCAGAAAAATTGTTGGCCTATCAATTGAGAAAAGAACATCAATTTAAGACATAAAGAAGCATGTTTCAAATTCAAAACAAATGGCAAATCAAATATATTAAATACTATTCTCAACCATGTGGAAACTATACAAACTTTGGAGAAAGTTATAGGGTATTTGAATACAACACACAGATTTACAGATCAGCAAAAAGAAATAGTACTTACAGTATTAAATAAAAAAAAATCCTGGAGAACTTAAAACATGGGTTAAAAATATATATCAAGGGCAAATAACAAAGATCATAGCTAATAAAACAGCTACAAATTTTTCAATGAGTAAAGATACTAGATAAGGCTGTCTGCTTTGTTTCTCATTTACTATTCTTGATTGCTTTAGAAGTATTAGCAAATAAGTTTTCAAAAAAACGTATCAGGTATCAAGACTCAAGGAGAGAAATAAAACTTAAAATGAGGGATCCTTGGTGCTCTCTGAGCTTGCTTGTTTTCTTGCAAACGTTTCATTACCTTAACTAGGTAACATCATCAGTGCACTGTTTTTTTTATTAAACAAGTTTTATTGTTTTTTTCATTTTACAAACAAGTGCTTAAGAAACAATGTGGTGGCAGGGCAGTCAATTGTCCACAAAACAAAGTCATATTCATAAAGTTCAAATTAAGTCATTAAAAACCTCCTCTTTTTCCCTCTAATGACATATTATATTCAGATTGATATATTACAATACAACTAAATCAATCATAGCAATCCTCAATAATCTTTCGTCTAAATAGATCTACAAATCCGAATCCTGTATTGAGTTTACCTATTTCACTTATTATGTTCCATATTTCTAATCTAAATACTTAGTTAACACTTTGGAGGTCTCCCCATAACCTTTTCCCTTAACATATTCAATAAGCATTTATTATATCATTTCATCCTTTTTTCTTATTCCTCTTCCATTACACGTAACTATCAATTCTAATAAGAAAAGAAAATATTAATTCAAATCAGAAAGGGAAAAAAACAAAAGAAGAGAAAAAAACAAAAACAAAGACAAGACAAAAAGAAAGAAAAGAAAAAATACCTTTCTATTTCTATTATTCTTTATAATCTAACAATCAATCCCTCAATATCTATATCAAATTTCTTTAACGTCCTCCCAAAATTACTGTATCCAAAGCATATTAATACATAGACAAAACAAGTTATTATTAAGTTCAAATCTTAATTAGTTTTTATTCAATCTAATCTCTTATTTAACTGTTTTAAGCCATAAATCAATCCATATCTGATAAGCCTAACAGTGCACTATTAATGAAATGTCTGCAAGAAAACAAGTTCAGAGAGCACCAAAGACCCTTCATTTCAACCCCGAGCTACAAATATTCTCCTTCACTGGTAAAACTTAAAATACTATGCAGATAGTGTACTAACCATCATGCAACTGCAAAATGCAATAAAGGAGCTGATAAAAACAAGGGTTTTGATGAATTCTCAACATATAAAATTAATATACAAAAAAAATAATATACAAAAAAATTAATATACAACAAGTATTTGGGATTCTGTTTGACAGGTAGCAGCAAATTCAATTTGAAATTTCAAAAGTATTAAACCAGATTATGGAGAGAAGTTTAAAAAACATATTGAAAGTGGTAATATTTAAAACTGCTTAAATTATGATCACTAACTTGAATATATTATCTACATTGCCAACAATATCAGATTGGGAAACCAAACTTGGGGAATATGCAACAATAGTAACATTAGCAGTATATATTCATAACAGAAAATTTCAGTAAGAATGGTTTCCTGATATACAGATATTCACATAATAAGGCAAACTCAGGAACCTAACAGTACAGTTTTCAAGGTGAAAATAATTGACTCAAAGACAGTAACTAAAAAAAGTGTTGAGAAAAACGATTATGTTACATCAGTCAGGTACAATAGGGAATTTAAAATTATGTGATTTTCCCAATAAGTGTTTTTACTGATTATTCTTTTTCTTTTTCCTTGTTTGTTATATTTTCCCTTTTTCCTTTTTTTTCCTTTACATTTTTATGTGCAACTACAATGGTGTTAAAACTTTGTGAACTTTTTTGCATTTTCAGTACTTCTGCATGAAAATGACCTGAAATGTGATCTAAACAACTATATGTCAAAAATATTGTACTTGTTCATTTATTTATTGTGAAAAATGATCCAAAGCAACATACAGGAAGTCCTCAGCTTACTATCACAATTGGAACCAGAACCTTTGTTGCTAAGTGATGCAGTCATTCAATTTTACAACCATTTTTGCCACAATTGTTAAGTTAATCACTATAGCTGTTAAGCAAATCTGGATTCACCCATTGACTTTTCTCAGAAGCCCTCTGGGAAGGTCACAAATGGCAATCACATGACCCTGGGATCCGGCAACCATCATAAATGCATATTGGTTGCCAAATACCTGAATTTTGATCATGTGACTGCAAGGATGTTACAACAGCCGTAAGTGTGAAGACCACACGTCACTTTTTTCAACAATGCTGTAACTTTGAATGGTTGTTAAACAAATAGCCATAGTTTGAGGATTACCTGTATTTGTGGCAAAAGTATCGAGAATTATCTTATATTCGCTATCTTGTTTTAAAGTATATGCTTTTAATTATTCCAGGTTTATGAATATTCATGAAGTAAAAACCTATTGGGAAAGCAAAGGCATATTGGTCACAATTAAGAACTGGCTAACTGAATGGGTTCACTCTGTGAAAGAGGAAAGCTTTAAGCCATCAAAGTTAGTATACATTAATAGATATTAAAATATGTATGATGGAAAATATTAACATTTTTATATAATGAAGGTGATATATGCACTGTTATATTCTAACCTTAATAATTGGGATACTGAATAACTACTAATCAAGAACTACTGGGCCCAAGTACCCAGATTTATTGGAAGTTAGTTTTCATTCCAATTCAGCAAGATCTAGTCCTGAAATAGCATTCAATGTTGTTGAATGCAGAAAAAAGGAACTGTAATTACATTCCAAATTTGTACAAATTTGTAATTTGTAATTACATTCCAAATTGGAAACTCGATATCAGAATGGCTAGTAGAGACTAGTATTCAGTTTCTAAGGCTGATTTATAAGAAAGAATGTTGAAAATTCTCAAAATTAAGTTGCTCAGAAAATTGTGAAGATCATAATTGACTTTCATGATCAATTGTCAGTTCTAAGACTGTTTATAAATTATAATTTGCATGGGTCCATTGAGATATATAGTTTACTTGCAAGCTGGAGAAAAAGATGATTTAGTCTCAAGGGAATCTGGCTGCTGAATATCTTTTTTTAAAATATAAAGACAAGCAGAGATATATAAAGAGAAAGAAAGAAAAAGCACAGAGAAAAGTACAGTTAATGAAAGAAAAATAATAATTAAAGGAGCAATTTCCAACCTTCTTCACAGCAGTTATGAACTCATTATTATTATTATTATTATTATTATTATTAATATTACAAAAATCCCTTCAGTCTCTTATTCTGTTTTTGTAATCATCGAATCCAGAAATCACCATTTTCACTTTTTTTCTATTTTCAGCAAAACGTTTTCCAGTCTTTTATTAAAAATACTTACATCGTAAGTGGAGGACTACCTGTAATATGAAAAAGGTTTTCTTAATAACTCTTCTTTGTGCATCTAGTGAGTTTCTTAGAAATACTATACTTGGTTTCTCTTTAGATCATATAAATCTTTCATCTTAGAAAAACTTAGAAACATCTATTTTTGAGAAGGATCTGTATCTTTCAGAAAAGTTCATATATTCCTTGGAATCGCCATCTTACACGGCGTCTGTGTATATTTATAATCTCTCAACATCCTTCAAAAATATTTTGGGCAATTTACTTTGTGTTGATTTAATTCCTTTTTCAGAAGTTCTATCTTTTTGTGGGCAAAGTATTCCATTCCGGTCTCCAAATAATTCTATCAGTTTTCCATAAGTTACTTTAAAAAATATGATTTTATTGTTATTTGGCCTATTTATTCCTAATATCATGACATTAGTTTCATTCCAATTAATTTCAGCAACTACAAATCTGCCATGCTTATCATCCATTATCCATTTTGGTTGGATTTATATGCAAAGCAACTCTATTTTTCTTGGCTGTGGCATAAATTCTTATCCCAAATTTTTATAAATCTTTTTTTTTTTATCTTTTTCTTATATGTGTTTCTTATAAGCAAATTACATCTTGTTTTAATTTTTCAAGTAACGAAATACTTGCTTTATTTTTTGAGGGACATTTGTCCCATCTATAATCTATCTTAGGCATTTAAAATCCATATTTATTTTATAAACAGAAAAGTCTATGAAGTAGCATCCAACTTTATGGTCTCTTTTTCATCTTTCTATATTTATTGCATGGTTCCCTCGTTTTGATCCAACTGCATTTTTTTCACCTCTTCTGTGAATCTTTCATAAAAATCTCTTGCTCTTTGGACGAAGTCAAGTCAAAATGATTTATCCTTAATTTTGTATGGAAATGTTGTAGAACTGGTATCTTGTCTTCTTTCTGACAAAATGTACATCTTAGAACTTTTCTTAATTTTGCATATCTTGTATTAATTCTATGTCTTCTTTCTGACAAAATGTACATCTTGGTACTTTTCTTAATTTTGCATATCTTGTATTAATTCTATACACGTCCACTTCTGCATTCATATTTTCTTCATTCCACTCCAAAAATGTTATTAGAAATTCTACCTTCTCTAATGTCATCACCAGGTTCTTCTGGAACTGCTCTACCTAAAACAATTTTCTTTCTTAATTCTAATAATTGTCTAAATCCTTTTCCATATCTCAATTTATTATAGGCAGTCCTAAACTTACAGTATGACCACATTTGGGACCAGAACCTCTGTCACTAAGCAATGCAGTAGTTAATTAAGTCTTGCCTGATTTTATGACCTTTTTTGCTGTGGTGGTTAAACGAACCATGCACTTATTAAAGCAAATCCAGTTTCCACCTGACCTCAGTGGCAGAAGTCCCTTGGAAAGATTGTAAACGGCAATCGTGTGTGCTCCATAAGTGCTTCAACCACTGTAAATACATGCTGGTTGCTAAGTGTCCTAGTTCTGCTCATGTAACAACTGGGACACTCTGATGGTCATAAGTGCAAGCACCTATTGTAGGTCACTTTTTTCAGCACTGTTGTATTTTTGGTCATTAAATGAATGACCATAAGTTGGGGAATACCTCTGTCTCATTTTCAAATATTTCTATTTTTGCTTTGATTTGTTTAATGTCTCCATTTATCTGTATTACAGAATCTTCCATTCTTTTATTTATCTTTTCTGCCATATTTTTCCATATTCCATAATTCCAAATCTCTCCTCCATTCTCTCTTTGAGGGTAGCGTGGTCTCTTTTGACTGGTGCAGGCACTGATGCAGTTATTGATATTATAACATTGTTTTCTAATTCTTCAAGCATCCTTTATAGAGACCCTGGCATAATTCCTTTATCTATTATTTGTTGTCTATCTGTAAATGTTCATCTCTTCTCTTCTGTCTGTAACAATCTCTGTAACTCTTAATCCTATTTGGCTCCTGTAGTCACATGATTTCATAACTTCTTTCCCTTTTTCTACTTATTTCTTTGATTAGCAAAGTCAGCCAATCATCCTCCTTAGCACGTTTAAACAATCCTGTTTCCAATGGAGGTAGGTGTTATTTATCCAATTAATTAAAAAATACTTAAATAAGGCAAAATTCCAAATTTGATATTTCTTTAATCCATTTTTAACTTTTGCATTCAAAACTTCTTGCAAGCTTTTTGCTTTTAATTATTTTTAATTCTTTATAGTTGTATCCTTAATTTTTACATTAATGTTTTCCAAAGTCAAAGGTACATTCATTTGGGTGCTCTAATGCTTTGAAGGTCTCCTTAAAGTTTAAATCTGCTGTATCCAAAAGTGCTTTAGAAAATGGATCCAGCAACCCCAATATCCTTTAAACGTGCTTTCCTTGAGGCTGTGAGCATGTTGTCTTCTTCTGCAGCTCCTGGTGCTCTTTACTTATGATTCCCTTTGGATCCTGTGGGTTTCCTCATGAGGAAGATCTCTCCAGAGCTAAAATGAGCAACCTTGCAGCTTTATCCTAGTGATTAGTTTATAGAAGCTCCATTAGTTTGGGCACACCACCCCGCTTCCATTCTTTGCCCTTGTATCATCTGTGTTAGTTTGCAATGTTTCCACCTGAAAATCCACTGGTTGCTGAATATTTGACTATAACCCTCCTGGAATTAGTCCATATCCTTATGTATGTATTTCAGTGAGGTGTGGTGGGTGAGATTGATACAAGATTGTTTTCTCCTTATCTGGATTATGTGCTTCAAAACTAGGAGTCATGCCCACAGTGATTATTTCCCAATTGCTCTTAGAAAACAACTCTGAGTATAGGGACTACAAATCCCTTCCAAAATACATCTTACAGTTTCTTCTCCAGAGGAAGCAGTAGTGACAGCAATAAACAGAAGAAAGGTATTGAACTAAAGTTTGGATAATGAGAATCCAAAAATGCTTTGAAATTTCTTAGTGAGGCAAAAGGAGTTTAAAAGAGTTATACTATTCCTCATTGTTTTAAAAAAAACCTCAGACATAATTGTTTTAGTAGAGGAAACAGCATAATTCTCTTCTACTTTTTTTGTTTTAGTAATTTGAGTTCCTATATCTATTTGGCATCTTTAACTGTTCATAAAATCACAGAGTTGGATTCTTATTGAATTATTCTTTCAGAGCAAGGTTCTTGGACAGTACTGATCACTGTCCATATATGGTATTAAGAAATGAAAAGTAATAGATGTTTAAATGACTGTTATTAATTGCATGTCTAACTTTTTTCCCTTTACAGAAACAGGCTTATGAAAACATGCTACCAATTAGTGATAATGGAGGAGTTTGAATATATATGTTGTGTGGTAACCCTTTTGAACTGTTTTCCAATTGCTCTTTACTTTCTACTTTCTACCAATACACCATATTTTCCACAACTAAAATTGTGCAACTACTATTTTCTGACTTTGTACATACTGGAAGCTATACTGAAGGTACAAACTACATAAATTAATGATATATTTCTTTTTAATAATGTAAATAAACATGCCTACTATATATTCAATAACTAGAATATGCATTTTAATTATTTGCAATAGAAAAGCAGGTTAGAAATGTTATAAATACATGTTACTCAAAAGTATGAATTGAAGTCCGAAAGATTTTTATAAATTTAAAATATAGTTCTATCACTTCTTCAGTGTTTTTGTAGTAATTGCTTTTCTAAACATAATATTTTGCCTTTTGCTGAACTTTAATTCAAGCATCGTGTGTGTTCGTACCAAGGAGATAATAGCCATATTACAGTTACAGTATGTTTTCTGTAAGTTTCAAGAACAAGGAAAATAAAATGGTAAGCTGGAAATATGCAAGAACCATTAATCAGGCAAGAGAGATTGAAAGGCCAGACCAGGAAATCAGCTACAATGGAAGACTATTTTTTATTGAGATATATAATAATAGAATCTTCTACTTTATGGTTTGAGGTTCACATACTACCAGTCCATCGCCAATACTCACATAATTCAATAATTTACTGTTGTGACCACAGGCCATAACAACATGACATATCAGCAAAGAAGAATAAAATTAGTTAACAATAAAATTGTAAACAACAATAAAGAAAACATACAAGAGAATTAAGAATCAACCAATACTATCATTGGGGGTTTTAAATTTCATTTCTAAATTTGAAAGAAGGCATGGCAAAGGTAGTTGACCTGATTGTTAATAATTGGAATTGTCCCTGTGAGAAGGTAGTTTTGTTGTTCAGTATCCTGCACCATAAATTTGTTGGTCATCAGTATTTTGATTTTGATTTTATCTTAGATAGGGCAGTAGAGGACATAATTATTAATGTCCTCCACTTGGTTGGCACTAAGGGGCACAGTCAGTCTCCATTGGACATGTATAAAACTTCCCTTAAAGATAAGCGGAACCAATGGTCTGAAGTAAATAGATGTACCGGTAGACCTTGGCTTATGTCCGCTTGTCTGGTGTTTGTTCAAATTACAGCATTACTGAAAAAATGGACGTATGATTGGTCTGAAATTCTGGCCCCATGTGGTCATGCAATCAGGGTGTCCGCATGATATGAGTTGTCACGATTGAGATGTCATGATATCTATTTGTGACCTTGTCTGCTGGCTTCCCACAAGTAAACTTAATAAAGAAGCTGGTAGGGAAGGTTGTAAATTGTTCTGCTTCCCCCCCCCCCCCCGCGCAGCTGTCATTGACCCTCATAGGTTTTCCCTAGCTACCTGTAACTCAAGTACGGCATAGGCCAACCCTGCCCAGTTCCTCCCCCAGTTTCCCATGACTGCATGTGTCCTGAACTGTCTCTCTTAGGCCTTTCCTGCTTCCTCCCCCTTGGCACTGCATACTCTTTCCCTGGGATTTCTGCCTTTTCCCACAATGATCTTCAGATTACAACAGCTATTTCATTTATAGAGAACCATTGATTTGCTTAACTACCATAGTGATTCACTTATGGTTTGCTTAACTACCATAGTGATTCACTTAGTGACTGCTGCAAAAGAATTATAAAATTGGGTCAGTCACATGAGTGACCCAATTTATGACCATCCCGAATTATGGCTGTGATGGGCAGGTTCCATCATAATTGTAACTCAAAGACTATCTGTACAATTAACAGTTCAACAATGAGGTTTGTGGAATCTTTCTAATTTTTTGTTTCTCAACAGTACAATGTAAATTCTAATGGAGACTGAGGATAGGCCCACTTTCATTCTAAGATAGGTGGCCCGAGTACTATAAGGAAGGCCTAGAATCTTCCTTACAACTAAGCTGGCACAAAGATGCATTATGGCAGGGGTGTCAAACTCGCCATATCACATGATGTGTCGCAATGTATCGTGCCTTTTTTTCCATTGCCGGCAATGGGGTGGGCGCGGTTTCGACATGACGCATCTGGCCCATGGGCCAGCAGTTTGACACCCCTGCATTATGGGGTCAGACAAGGGTATTGGTCAGTTCATGTCTAATTTCTCATCACTTGTTCTAATCACAAATTAGGGTGTTTGGTTTTTAAGTTGAAAAGGTAGAAAAAGACCTTTATTTCCTAGAAAATAGCCTCCTAAAATAGAGGTTCAGTTTCTGTCAACCAGAGTTCCATGGAAAAGGCTATTGGGATATTGCTCCCTTTGCCTCCTAGGCCAAACTTCCTAGGAAAGAGGCAGATTGCTGTATTTATTAACTTTGGCCAGAGAAGGCGCAGTTACAGAGAACATTTTTGTCATGTAGAATATTCAGAGCCTACTGATAATTGACCAGGAATACAGACTGAAGGATAATATATTCTGGCTACAATGGGAATGTAGCCAGAATACAGACTGGGAATGTAGCCAGGAATACAGACTGAAGGATAATATATTCTGGCTACAATGGAAGTTTTTAAGAAGAGACTGGACAGCCATTTGTCCGAAATGGTATAGGGTTTCCTGCCTGAGCAGGGGGATGGACTAGATGACCTTCAAGGTCCCTTCCAACTTTACTATTATTATTATTATTATTATTATTATTTTGGCATATTTTAAAGAGGCACTGGTATGCCCCCTCCTCAAAAAGCCATGGTTGGATCCACCATTTGGGCAATTTTTGTTTAGTCTCTCGTGTTCCCTTTTTAGGGAAAGGTGGTTGAGAAGCTGGTAGTTTTGCTATTTCAGAGGATCCTGGATGGATTATCTATATGCTTTTCCCATAGGCCTAGCTATGGGACAGAAACAGTATTGGTCACAATTTATGGATGGTCTCTGACAGGAGAAGAAGATAGTGTTCATCTTGATCTTTCAGTGGCTTTCAGTACCATCAACTATGGCATCCTTTGGGGCCAACTTAGGGAGTTGGGATGGGTAGCACAATTTTGTGTTGGTTCACCTCATTCCTCCAAGGCTGATTCCAATCAATATTGATAGGGACAGAAATTTGTAAATGATGTTTATTTTCTGAATCAATTTTACTGTGATTTTAGACATTGTTTTGATACATAAGGGGTCATGATGGCTCAGCTGTTAAGTAGTTGAGCTTGTCAGCTGGAAAGCTGATAGCCTAGGTTCGAGACCCAAGCACCATGCAATGGGACGAGCTCCCATTCTTTCCCAGTTCCAGCCCATCAGTTTCCTTGACTTTCTTCTTGTTTCAGACCAATCCCTAAAATCCTTCTTCATTATTTTCAGCATTTAGAACAAGGCTTTGTTCATGCTGACCCTTAGCCTTCCTGACCCCATACTTGCAGGTTCAGGTTATTTCCTTATATTCTTCTTTTGTTAATCTGATTGATTTTCTCCTGCCACTTTTTATTCTGTGACTGGAAAGGAAATGTTTAGTGCACAAATGGGTATTTTTTAATGAGGAATAGAATTCTGGTTAAAAGTTTACCTGGAACAAAAGCTGCCTTTGGAACTATTAAATATTAGCTTTTGTCATCATTAATCCTGTGTTTACAGCAATATGAGATGTCAATCCACAGTCATCACTGTATACCATCCTCCCTGCTGAGCAATGTCCTCCTTGCCTGAGCTAAATTCCATAGATGAAGTGGCAATAGAATTCACAATTCTCAAGTTGCTTGGGGATTTCAATCTGCCACCCAGTGACACTGAGCCAGGAGAGGTTCATGGCCTCCATGGCAACCATGGACCTGCCCCCAATCATTGATGGCCTTATGCTTCCTGGAGGCCACACACTAGATCTGGTTTTGTTTTAGGGGAACTGAGGTATGATCTGGAGGACATTAATATTATTTTGTTGCTATGGCAGATCACTCTTTGATTGTCTGTTGCCTCACTGATGCCACTCCTCCCTGCAGGAATACAGGACTTGTTTGATTGGTCCCCACAGGTTATTGATGGATCCAGGCTTGGGTTTTTCCTGAGGATCTGGTGGGAGATTCAGATGAGGCCTTGTCACTGCCTGGAATAAGTGAGTGGTTGTGTCCCTGGATTATACTATGGCCTCTTCCTGTGTGCTAATCCCAGAGTGTATTTGCATTTATTGAGCAGCTCTGGGAAATGTAGTGCTTGGAAATATGGCTGGAGCACTGTTGGAGGAAAATTCAGCGTGAGTCTGACCAAACATGGGTAAAAGTGCATATTAGGGATGGCAAAACATAAATATTTCTCTGCCCTTATTGCATCTTCTGATAGCTATCCAGCAGCTTTGTTTCGAGTGTTCTGGTTCCTATTGGGTAGGGCAAGCTCCTCAGAATATCTGTTGGGAATCTGTGAGGATTATTTAGGCTATCTGGAAGATCAAACTGCTCAGATTCACTCAGCATTTGACTTTGACTGGACAGCTCAGGCTCAGAGGCACATCTGGTGTGATCTGGGATGAGTTTGAGGGACTGCCTATCTCCCATAGTATCTGCCAGGCCAATCTAATCTGGCAGGGTTGATGTAGTCCAGGTTCCTTCAATTAATACAATCTATTTTGACTCCAGAAGTGCACCTTCTGTGTTGCATTGCTTGCACTCTGGAACAAAATTTCTCCAAGATCGTCCCACCTTGTTTCAAAAGAACCTGAAGACCTGGCCTTTGATGGGGATGATTAGTCTCCTTTTAACTTAGATTGCTTTCTTTTGTTTCCACTCAATTTGTTATTCTGTCATATCTATCCTTTTTTCTTGTCATGTTTTTCATGCTTTAAATCGTTTGTAAACTACCCAGAGCTGTTGGAAGTCAGGCAGCACATAAATCTAATAAATAATAATTTATTTGTGGGTTATATAGTGATGCAGGAACCCACTCTTAGAAATGGAAACCTGTAAATTTTCTGACATTTAGCATCCTACTGTTCTAGCATTTATGTGATATTTTTTTTGTACAGTAACTTCAAGTACAAATATATAATTTAAAATGAGTCTCGTGATTTCTGTGGAATCTTGTGATATTTACATTTAATGTTGCCTATCTATTTAGTATCATTGTATTGTTTTTAACAGATTTCTGCAGTGGGGAGGAACTACTTCCGACATCATTGGAACCAGTTTGATATACTAATCATAATCATTGGAATTATAGATGTTGTAATTATCAATATCATTAGATCAATTAGCCCAACGTATGCTATAATTTATGTTATCAGGATATTACGGTTTCTTCGTGTTGTAAGAGTTCTGCGTCTTTTAAAGGTAAACATAATGATGTTATAGTTGAAAAATCGAGGTTTTAATTTGTTTCAGAATTTTTTAAAAAATAAATATTACAAATATTAAAAGTTTAAATTCATTTAGTCCATTGACTGTAAGCATTAGATTGTTTGACTGTTCAATTAAATTCAATTAAATTCAGTTAATGTGGTGTAGACTCCTAATTTGGGAGTACAGACCAAACACTTATGGAGTCCATAAGTTGGGAAGGCTCGGTGTATTACCAGATTTTATTCACAGAATACAAAGAGGCACGGAATATGCTTCTCAACAGTCTCTGTCTTTCCTTTTACTATAAACTTCATGAAAACAATGCCCACAAAAAGATAGTATCATCTGTTCATATCTCTTGAGTATTAGTGATAGTTTGAATCTAAAATGATATAAAGACAGTGTTTCTGCTTTGGTTTATCATTTGGGTGTTAGTTTTTGAGAGGCATATTATATTAGAATATTGTCATCACTCATTTTCTGATGGCCGGCTATATTGGTTAGTGACATTTTATATTTTCCTACTAATGAATAATACAAAAAAACAAAAATGGATATTCCATGAGAAATAAAAAGTAGATTTAAAAAAGTGTAATCATAATTTGAAAGCCAGTAGCACATTCATATATTACATTTTTACTTTAGGAATCTCCTTCAGAGAATATTTTCTACATCTGGAAATTTATTTTTCTTTTTACTTTCTCTTGCATTTATGTGCTGAATGATGTTTTTCTTCTTACAGGCAGATAATATTGGAATTCTATTTTGCATGTATTATTTTTCTCTACATATAAATTTACTGACTAATAGCAATAGATTTAGAGGTAATTACAGGGATTCTGCATATTTTTCTCCTTGTCTAAAAGATTTAGTTTGCATTTCTCTACATACAAAGACTTGTTGTCTAGATTAGTATTTTTAGGTCTTTTTAGGTCTTTCATAATTTCCTTCTTGTCTCACTTCAATTCTATTTCTCATCTGAAACTGATCTATGTCTTTCAGTATTTACCTGACTATCTATCTGTCTATAGTAGAAGAAGGTGCACTGTATACTTTTGCTATGAATAGACTTAATTAACTTTGACTTTCCTGTCTCCATGTTATTTCCTAAAGAAGCGTATTTTATATTCTTTACCCAAGTACCAGTGTCAAGAATGCTATCTTACAAACGTTTTAATCCTTATTTTAGAATATCTTCCATGCATTTGTTCTGCTACATAAAGCTGTCTGCTCTTCAATATTTATTTATTTATTTTATTGCACTTAATAGTAGGTATTTCCAAATAGTGAAAGAGAATAGTGGAAGAGAATTGTCTAGAAAGAGAAAATCATAGGCCAGTGGTGGCGAACCTATGGCACGGGTGCCAGAGGCGGCACTCAGAGCCCTCTCTGTGGGCACGTGCGCCATCGCCCCAGTCCTAGGCCTTCAGCTGGGTTTTATAAAACCTTTTCGCTTTAGGCCTCCGCTGCCGTGTGCAAAAAAAAAAAGGTTCAATCAATCAGTCAATTTCAACTTCTCGCAGGAAAAAAAAAGATCTTGCAAAGTTGGAATTGATTGATTGAACTTTTTAGTCCCACCCAGTCTGCTGTTACCACCGCAGCCACGCCCACCCAATGGGCCACACCCAATTGGTCACACCCACCCAGCACCCGACGATGCATATGTGGGTTTTGGGTTGCAGTTTGGGCACTCGGTCTCTAAAAGGTTCGCCATCACTGTCATAGGCTGATATTTTTTTTCTAAATTGGAAAAGGGGCAAGATTTTTCTATAAGCTTTTCTTTTAATTAAATACATTGGATTACAAGGAATTTCCTGGAATTATTTCTCTGATAGCACTATTCTTATCAGGTTGAGTAACACAAAGCCGAATGGATCCAGTTTCTATTACATTAAATCATTTCCTTATATTTAAAACTTTTTTAGGAATACCTACTTATATTTTTGGCAAACTCATTGTATACTGCAAATTTATCAGAGCCTCTCTTTGAACATTCCCTTCTAAATAATTTCTAATCTGCTCTTTCCATCTTCATGTAAGTGTGTGCACATATTTTTCTTCATAGTCATTCATCAGAACCAATTTGCTCCATAACTTTATTCACCAATGCCCTTTCTTATAATCACTCTGTAGCCTTCTGAAAACATTCTCAAGCTCCCAGACCTAAAAGCAAGCAGGTGTTAAAAGATAATGCAAAATCAAAGACTGATCATGGAAGTCATATGAGACTCAATAGCATTCCTTATAAAGAAAAATTATATTGGGTGGTTGCAAGTCAAATGCAGCTTCAGTTATTTCATCAGCTTCACTCATGGTTATTCAAGGCATAAGTCAAAGTGCTAATTATGACTTTAAATGCCCAATATAATTTGATACCAAGAGTGTTCCCAGAAGAGGCATTTACTGCACAGTTCCCTTTCCTCATTCATTAAATTTAACTGATGACGTTCAGATAGCACCGTCTTTATTTGGGTATTCTATGTTTTATTACTATTTTTTTCTCAACAGAGAAATATAGAAATAGAAAGGCATAGAAATAAGGAAGGTAGGTTTGAAAAGCAAGCATCACTACTATGGGGAGTTAGAAAAATTGTGGAGATCCAAAGAAAGCAATAGGGAAATCAGGAAAGAATAGGCAAAATGAGGAAATTAGTATTACTGTGAAGAAGGCAGATAAAGTAATGTTGGAAAGAAAATTTATAGAAATATATCTATTATGGGGGAGTAAGATAAGGTATACAGGTGAACAAAGAAATAGCTTTGATGGAAAGGATAATACAGAGAAACCACAGAAAGGGTGTAGAAAAAATACCTATTTTTAGTATGTTATCTATTTCAGGTAATGATACCCAAAATTATTTTCTTGTTGAATAAACAAATAAATAAACAACTCACTTTTCGTTATGATATTGCCAAAGGATATGTTCAAGGGGAAGAAGATATAAAATGTTTAATTGGACAGATTGCTGGCCATGAGAAAGTTTATATTGTGAGTAAAATAGCCCTACATTTAAAGAGAAGTATTTGTCTTGATATTCTTCCTTTATGTCCTATAAATGATAAGAACATATTTTGAAAATATATTTAGATCACAAAAATACTGTTATATAATGCATTGTTGTAACATAATATATATGAATACATAAACCAAAAGTTAAAAAGACCAAGAATATGGAACTGAACCTTTAAAAATCAGTTTGGTTTCATTTAGGTTATTGAAAAACTCTACAGACTGATTGTGGTTTCCATCAAAGAGGTAATGTTTGGATTTCCTGTTTAGGGGCAAGAAAATGCTTATCTTCCAATTGTATTCATTTCTTTAAAAGGATAGGTATTCCCATTGTGGAAACTAAGCACAAATACATGAATAGTTAGGAGAGTGAGATTATGCCTTAGAAATATTCCCTTTTCTTATGATTATGAATTTCCTTTCTGTTTCCCCTGATAATCTTCACAAAACTATTTGTTCTCTGTGTACGTGTATGTGTTGTTCTAGCAGAAATTGTGTGTGTGTATTTTCTAGAAGAAATCTGTTTTAAAGTTAATTTGCAATCATATTATTAATCTTTGAGATGGAACAAAGTAAGATATAGATCATTATAGACAATTAGTTTAAACACTTTAGTGCATTCTTTATCTTAAAAATAATTATAGTGACTAACAATGTAAAAGATACCATACATGAAAAACATCATGGGGAATAAAAAAACAGAAATGGGGGGGGGGGAACTGTCATAAGTCATTGTGTTTTGTTTCCTTTTGGGAAGAGTGCTACTGTTGAAAATAATCTTGCTCGGCTATTTATAATTTGATTAATATAAATTACATATTCTTTTTTAACAGGCAGTTAGCAAAATTTTGGAAAATAACAAACAAGAAGCCATGAAAGAGTTAGGTATGAATTTAAAGAGATTATCATTATTATGATTTAATATTGTTTTCATTGCTATTAATGAAACTTTAATTTCTATAGTGTTGATTCTTACAAAGCCAAAATAGCACTTTCTATGCACACGAAAGAACTACTCCAAGCAAGGACAATCAGAAAGACAGTAGTAAGCTCCATGGTTTCCTCTGCATTTGCTCTGGCTTCAATAACTTTATTTCCTGCTCAGCCCCATATGAAACTGCACATTAAGTACAGATAGTCCTCAACTTACAAATACTGAGCCCAAAATTTCTGTTGTTAAGCAAGACAGTTGTTAAGTAAGTTTTGCCCCATTTTATGACTTGTCTTGCCAAAGTTATTCAGTGAATCACTGCAGTTGTTAAGTTAGTAACACAGCTGTTAAGTGAATCTGGCTTCCCCATTGACTTCGCTTGTCAGAAGGTCACAAAAGGTGATCACGTGGACAGTGGTAGGATTCAAATATGTGAACAATCGGTTCTCTGTGTGGATGCCGCTTCCGGAAGTCCATTCTGGGCCTGGGCAACAAAAAATTAGCTACCGGTTCTGCCGAAGTGGTGCGAACTGGCTGAATCCCACCACTGCACATGGACCCAGGACACTGCAACTGTCATAAATATTAGTCAGTTGTCAAGCGTCCGAATTCTGATTACATGACCATGAGGATGCTGCAACAGTCATGTGAAAAACGATCTTAAGTCACATTTTTCAGTCCCATTGTAACTTTGAATGGCCATTAAATGAATGGTTGTAAGGTGAGGACTACCTGTATTGAAAACATTGCTTATTTTGATTGCAATACTTCAAGTTGTTATCTGTGCAGTCACATAACTTAGCTTTTCTGTTCAGGGATTGTTTAGTTGTAACAGTGCTGAATGAGGAGTAATTACAAACATTCCTTGAAGTTCTGGCTGTTTCAGGACCCTGGGGTCATGTGAACTCAATTTGGGTGCTTGGGAACAAGTTCATACTTACAATGATTGCAGTGTCCCACAGTCATGTGACTGCCATTTGTGAACTTTTCTGCTGGTTTCCCACAAGCAAAGTCAATGAGGAAGCCAGCAGGGAAGGTAGCAAGTCACTCCGTAATTGTCCTTCCCACCTCCCTTTGTCTTGTGTCCTTCTTCCCTATGCATGCATGTACATGCAGCACCCCCTCCTCCAACTTGTTTGTGGCCTGCTCTGGGCCTACCAGGGCTCCCTCACCCCCCTGCAGAACCACATGTTCCTTTCCTTGAAACTTTCTGCTTAATGACCTCTGCATTTTGGAATTACAACAGCAACCAGGGGACTACCTGGATTGCCATTATTAATGCAATGTTCAGTTGCATTTTCTTTAGTAGCACCTAAAAGAAAGAAAAAAGAAATGGAAAGAATATTTATCTGCATGACTAAAGCAATCATCAATGTCTTAAATTCCATAGTCTTTATTTGCACACTGGATGAGTACATAAACCACAGTTTATTTCAAGGTGCATAAGTGTCCATCTCAGAATTCTCTCAGCTGATACATTGTAGAAGAACCTGAAATACATTCAATTAAATATCCCTGATTAATATTTACAGTTAATTCTTACTAACATTCTATATAATTGAAATACTATTTTGGATGGCAAATACTTCTTAACTATTAAAGCCACAATAAAATTTAATCACATCAGCAATATTAAAAAAGGGGGAGCTAAATTAGGAACAAAATATAATGAAATAGTGTAGGTTAAAAAAAGCCTTATTTTTACACATTTGTGATTATTTTCTTGATAATGCACATAATTTTGTTTTTTGTTTCTTTTATTTTTTCTTTTTCTGTTATTTAAAAAACAATAAAAAGTTTTTTTAAAAAAATACCCAGGGGCTAAATTATGCTGATGTTTAGAGTGGACAATCACTGCTCTTAAATCTCATCTTCTGCCAGTTTTCAGTTCTAAAAATCATTGCTTTTTATATACAGAGACACTTTTTTTCCCTTCAACTGTGGGTAGGGATAGTGCATTCATGGAGAAGATTTATATAAAGAAGCACTTGAACTTTCCTGTATATATTTGCAAAGCAATATAAAATAGATGCATTTTTATCTGTGGATACCACTTTGGGCAGCTGTAGTATCTGGATACTTCATAAGTATTCTTGGATTTACTGTGCAGATATATCCAATGATAATGAAACGTTCAGCCCAAGAAAAAAGTGGATTTTTTTTATTGTATGTTTTTTTTTATCTAAAGGAGAACATCCTTCCCTCCTAAGACTTTTGTTTCATACAAGAAAACGAGAGTAATCTGAGTAAATTACTTGACTACTTCTAATTAGCTATATTTCTCTTTTCAGGCTGAAATCACTTTTATAAAAAAATTAGTAGTTGTTTATGTATCTATTTCTGAGGAGCACAGAGAGAGAGTTCACTTTGCTTTTCTAGTCTAGTCTGAGAGGGCTTTAAGTTTGATGTCAACGGGGAAATGGTATCCCAGAAGTTATTAAATGGTTTCTTGCAGGAAAAAAAATGTCTTTTTACTCAATGTCTTAGGAACAAATTGCCCCTGGGTTGCTTGTTATTATAAAAGCAATTTTTTACTGCTTTTATAATAAGAGGGGAAAAACGAGAAGAACAAAGACAAAAATGAAAATTGTCTTTCATTTAAAGTCTTGTTAAAGTTAATAGGATTAGAAAAAACTGTTGGGTTTTTTTTCTTTTTCTTTTAGTTGGTTTTTATTTAATTCAATGAGGACCTCTTGCAAAGACTTTTCAGTTTTGGGAAAAGAATACTTTATATTTTTGTTTTGTCTTCAGTATAATTTAACAAGTTTTGCTATTTTAACATATTTGTAATCTTGCACATTATGTGAATGGAATTCTGCACTTATTCAGAACCTTGTTCAGAATATTCTAGAACTGAGATTTCTTATAGGCATGATTTCTCAAGATCCATTTGTGCATATCTCCATAGCTGCAGTTGCTGCTAGTCTTGGGGAGGGGGCATTTACTCCTAAGCAGTTTTCCTTCACATTGAATGGCATTTATCATTTCTTGTATGAAAAATATTTTTATTTACTTTAGGATTAATGCAGCGTGACTATCCAGATATTGTCATTGCTGTGAAAACCAGACAAGCAGTTCAGACGGTGCTAAATACAGCTTTTGAAACTCTTAAATTTATGATATCAGGAGGAATTGTGGATAAAAATGAAGGAAATGAATTATATAAGGTAATTCAAACAAAATTATACATGAAACACGATATATTTCTGTTATAGAAAAAAATCAAATTATATTTACAAATTTTGGATGTTGGGATTTCCTGTTTTAAAAATAGAAAGTTGAAGGTAAAACTAAACAATATTTTCATATGGCTAAATTTTCATTGAAAGAATTTTGAGAACATTAAACGGCTGCATATTCACTTATTGCACAGATTTCTGCCAAAATTTTGCAGGGAAATATAACTTGATTCTACTGTTATCTGGAATCTGAGTTCAGTGCTCAAATAGAATTTTTTGCTTTTCTGTGACCTAAACATTTCTTGAAGATATTTCTCTACCTTTCTTTGATGTGGGCCTAATTACAGCCTGTAACCACTGCTTCTGCTTCCTAATTTTATTATTTTTATAAAATATTTTAATTGCACTCTCAGGAGATTTGTTATCACATAATGAACATTATGATATAATGGTTCCCCCATCACCAAATTTGGTTGTATGAAGAAGAAACTGAGAGTTAATTAAATGCATTTCTAGTTCCTTTACTCAATCAGTTATTGGAATTGAGGAGATGGGAGGAGCTACACCCAACTTTATGTACAGTGGGGGCATATTTCTAGAGGGGCACATAACTAAGGAAGAATATCAGCAAATAACCCGTGCCTGCAAAGATGAAGTGAGGAAAGCTTAGGCTCAAAATGAACTAAGGCTTGCAACAAAAGTAAAAAATAACAACAAAAAAAGCTTCTTACAACATGTAAAAAACAAGAAAAAAAGTTAAGGAAATGATTGGTCCATTAGTTGGGGAAAGTGGCAAGAAGGTGACAAGCAACAGGGAGAAAGCAGAACTACTTAACCTTTTTTTTGCATCCATGTTTATACAAAGAGAAAAAACAGTCCAACCTATGAAAAACAGTATCGTAAAAAATAGATTAGAAATACAAGTTAAGATAGGCAAGAAAATGGTAAGTGAGCACCTGTCCACCTTAGACGAGTTCAAATCACCAGGACCAGATGGATTACACCCCAAGGTTCTCAAGGAACTAGTAGAGGTGATCTTAGAATCATTGAACTATATCTTTCAAAGATCCTGGAGCACTGGGGAACAACCAGAGGACAGGAAAAGAGCTGATGTAGTTCCCATCTTCAAAAAAAAGGGGGGGGGGAAATGGATCCAGGAAACTACAGACCTATCAGCCTGACCTTAATACCTGGGAAGATTCTGGAAAAGATAATCAAGAAACGAATCAGTAAACATCTAGAAGCAAACAAAATCATAACCAAAAGCCAACATGGGTTTATCAAAAACAGATCATGCCAGACAAATCTTATTGCATTCTTTGACCAGGTGACAACATTTGTAGACCAGAAGAATGCTGTGGATATAATTTACTTGGACTTCAGTAAGGCATTTGATAAAGTAGACCACAACCTACTACTTGATAAGATAGAAAAATGTGGATTAGACAGCATCACCACCAGATGGATTCGTAGCTGGCTGACCGGCCATACTCAACATGGAGGGAAGTGTATAGTGGGGTGCCCCAGGGCTCTGTTCTGGGCCCAGTGCTCTTCAACATCTTCATCAATGATTTGAATGAGGGGATAGATGGGGAACTCATCAAATTTGCAGATGATACCAAGCTGTCAGGAATAGCCAACACTCCACAAGATAGACTTAAGATACACAAGGATCTTGACAGACTTGAACTATCTAACAAAATGAAATTCAATGGTGAAAAAAGTAAGGTTCTACATTTAGGCAAGAAAAACCAAATGCACCGGTATAGTATAGGTCAGGGGTGTCAAACTGCTGGCCTGTGGGCCAGATGCATCATAGCAAAGCAGCGCCCACCCCATTGCCGGCAATGGGAAAAAAGTCACGATACATCGCAACACATCACATGACATTGCGAGTTTGACACCCCTGGTATAGGTGGTACCTTGCTCAATAGTAGTAACTATGAGAGGGATCTTGGAGTCCTAGTGGACAATCACATAAATATGAGCCAGCAGTATGCTGCAGCTGCCAAAAAAGCCAACACAGTGCTAGGCTGCATTAACAGGGATAGAATCAAGATCACGTGAAGTATTAATACCACTTTACAACGCCTTGGTAAGGCCACACTTGGAATACTGCATCCAGTTTTGGTCACCACGATGTAAAAAAGATGTTGAGACTCTAGAACAGACATGTCAAACTCGCAACATCACATGACGTCGTGGAACGTATCGGGACGGTTTTGCCATTGCCGGCAATAGGGTGGGCGCGGCTTCTGGATGATGCATCCGGCCCACAGGCTGGCAGTTTGACACTCCTGCTCTAGAAAGAGTACAGAGAAAAGCAACAAAGATGATTAGGGGACTGGAGGCTAAAACATATAAGGAACGGTTGCTGGATTTGGGTATGTCTAGTTTAATGAAGAGAAGGACTAGGGGTGATATGATAGCAGTGTTCCAATATCTCCGGAGTTGCCACAAGGCAGGTCAAGAAGCAGCGGATGGAAACTAACCAAAGAGAGAAGCAACCTAGAATTAAGGAGAAATTTCCTGACAGTTAGAACAATTAATCAGTAGAACAACCTGCTTCCAGAAGCAGTGAATGCTCCAACACTGGAAGTTTTTAAGAAGAGACTGGACAGCCATTTATCTGAAATGGTATAGGGTTTTCTGTCTGAGCAGGGGATTGGACTAGAAAACCTCAAAGGTCCCTTCCAATTCTATTGTTATTGTTCTACTCAAAATCCCACAGTTTTGAAAGATTCACAAAGGACATCACAAATATACTTGATCATCATAAATATATACTCATCATCATAAATATACTCTCAGACAATGACATTTAAAGGTAAAAATGTGTCTCACCTTAGTTCTCACTAGTGTTTTTGGGAAGTAGTATAATATGTACTCTTTAAAAAACAGCAGCTCATAATTGTTTTTGAAATTTTTGAAATTATATATCATATGATTATATATTATATGATTAGCAAGACCTCTGCATTAATCAGAAAAGTATAGTATGTGATTTAGAGCTATTTTACCTCAGAATTATATTGCTCAAGACGTCTTAGCTCTAAGAATGTAGAAATCATATCATATTGGTTATTAATAATATGAATTTAAAGAACTAACTAACATATTATATTATAACAATATTCTTCTTTTTTAGATGATTCTGTTAAGAAAACATCAACTTGGAAAACTGCCCCCTACAATTGCCCCACCTACTGCACATGACCTCCTATGCAATATTGTGTGGCTTCATGGTAATAAAAAACAGATAGAATACATTCAGGTAATGATGCTTTAAATGCTTCACAGAGGTAATATCTGGTTCAATGCATATCAGTTGTCACACGTTAGATCTAGTCTTCACCTCCAAGCAGTAGAGGATGCCAAAATGGAAGAAATGACTATTAGTCCTTTGTATAGTCAGATTCTCCCTTGTTCACTTGAGGCTTGTGTGTTAGTTACTTCCTGCTTAGATTACTACAATGCACCCTACATGAGGCTGCTTTTGAAAACTACTTGGAAGATGTGGTTAGTCCAAATCCAGCAGCTTGCTTGTTGGCAGGTGAAAGCCACTTTCTCCAGATCACGTAACTCCAGTGCTTTGGGCTTTCTATCTGATTTTTAAAACCTTATGAAACTTGGCCCCTGGGACCCTTAAGGGCCATCTACATCAATTAGATCCTACGTATCCAGTACACATGTCTCTGGTTTGCTGATGGTTCCTTTCCTGTGTAACATCTAGGGGAAACAAAATCATCCTGTTCTTAGCATTGGCACCAATGCTATACCCCTATGGAATAGCTTTCCATCAGATATTTGGATAGTTGCATTGCATAAGTTGATGTGAAATGAGCTGGTATATAGATAAAGGAAATCAGTCTTTCCTCTGTTTGAAAAAAGAGAGGAAACTCATAAAAACTCATGCATAGTCCCACATATATACAATAAATCATATAGACAACTTGATATCCTTCAGATATAATTCCCACATTAGCTATGCTGGCTGAAACTCAGAAGTTAAAAAAGTAGAAATCTGAAATTACAAGTTAGAGATCCTATGTGTGTCATTGGCTTGCCTACCTGTCTCCAGACACTGAATATATTATTTAAATAGGCTTTTGACACTCAGACCACACAATTATAAATCCTTAATTTTGTTACATGGTTTCTTCATTGGTGAAGTAATACCAGAATGTATAAGAAGTGCTTACTATTTGATATGCAAATAGATTCCCAGGAATGTAAATATTGGTATTAATGAATGAGTTATGGCCATTTCAACAGCCAATCCCAATTCACTGTAGATATATCTATCTACTCATGAATTGATAATGGCAGGTTTAGGAGAAGAGCTTTAGACAACCAGTTCATCCAAAATAACATTGCTGGAAATGATGAATGTATTGTTTTCATGCCTCCTGAATTCAGGATTCTCATTACACCGGGTGGACTTTCACAGGAGGAATAATATTATGAGTCCCTCTATGAATTCTTGGATGAGGAGAACTTGATAACTCTTTTGGGCCAGAATTTGCAAGAGGCAGTGGTGACTAGGCCAACTGTGGGAGTAAAGCTGGGGATAAACAGTATACTTTAAACAAACACAACTAAAGTTGATTAACTGCTGGAATCTAATCCACTGAGGAACAGCAAGAGGCAACTGAAGCTGCTTGGGCAAGATGCAGTTTTCTGGCAGCACAATTGGAGGACAGCCGGAAGAGAGCTATGATCTGCAGACAGTCTGCCCTTGGTTTTGGTTTCAACTCCTTCTTTTCTGAAGGTTCCATGTCATAAATCAAGTATGAGGCTGTCAGGATGACTCAGGATCATCTCTTCTTCACTATTCCTTTGGATTAGACTAAAATCAATGCTTTGAACTTCAGACTACATTATCTAAGTGGCTATTTATATCAGCTACACTGCTTCTCTAGGCTTTCCCTCTGTGGTAGACCTGCCATCTAAATTCATTGGGGCAATAGGAGCCAAAGAAGGTTAAATGGCAAACAACTCCCAATAAATTCTGGCAGTATAATGAGGAATTACAACAACCAAAACAGATTCTTCCATTACAGCTGGCTCAGCTCAGAATTTTGGTCTTTGTCTTACAGGCCTAGTCAATAGCAAGCTGCTCATTTTATTGTAAAATTCCAGTTGGTGCTCCAGAAAAATTCATGGTGAGAAATAACACTTTGCTATCTTCCTAGCTCAGGATTAATCACATACAAATAAACTAAATTTCTTTCTGATCAAGCAAACTAGTACAGGTAGTCATCATTTAGTGACTGTCTTGGACAGTGACCATTTGAAGTTATAATAGTGATGAAAAAGTAATGTTGCAACCAATGCCTGCATTGCAGTGCCTCTCAAGTCATGTGTTTGCCATTACAGTCAGTACCTGTTGTCCTGTGCCTGATCTATTTTTTTCTCTTCATCCTCCCTTCCACAGTGGCAAGATTGTCTAAACAAGCTATCTTTTCCTGAGCTGGTTTTCTCCCCAGCCCAGCAGTCCCCTGAAAAATACTAATTGCAGGTTAACAAGCTCAGCTCTATGATCTTAATTACTTGATTAGAACCTTCTGGCTGGGGTGTAGCTGCAATCTGAAATTGATAAGATTCTAGTCCAGGGGTGTCAAACTCGCAATGTCACGTGACGTGTCATGATATATTGCGACTTTTTCTCCATTGCAGGAGCTGGGATGGGTGTGGTTTCGGCATGACGCATCTGGCCCGAGGGCCAGCAGTTTGACCCCCCTGATCTAGTCAGTTTCACAGTAAAGAACTTTTTGCCTCCCCTTTTTGCTAACAGCTTGCATCATAGTATGCTAGGCAGATGGTGCCAGTGCATTCCTTTTGATGTGCATTCCCCATTGTGTGCCTACTTGCTCTTATACAGATAGTCCTTTTTAGTGACTATCTTGTTTAGTGAGTATATGCAGTTATGACAGTGATGAAGAAGTAACTTTGCAACCAGTCCTTGAATTTACAACCTCACAGATCTCTAAAGCAAAAGAAAGCTGAATTAAGATTGTAAGCATAGTCATGGGTTTACCTAGCAATTGTTTTGCTTAATGACCAATAGCATTAAGGCTTATATACTGCCTCATAGCACTTTACAGCATTCTCTGGACTGTTTACAGTATTTGCATATCACTCCCAACAATTTCATTTTACTGACCTTGAAAGGATGGAAGGCTGAGTCAACCTTGAGCACCATCAGGATCAAATTCCAGAGACTTCCGGTTTTGCACAGTAGTGATCAGTCATGGGCTTGAAGATTCTCTGCACCCCCACGGCTAATTTCACCCTGCCAGGGAACCCTAAATGGGTCTAAGTCGCCCCGGAGAGGCGACGAAGAAAGAAGGGTGCTCCAGTGATTCTGGAACGGCGGCGGCCATTCCGTTTGACTTGGGGAAAGCCTTCTAACCCGACCGGAGAAAGGCTGGCCGTATTGCATCAACCAGCCAAAACTACTTGCAACCGAAGTCCAAAAGCACTAACAAGCACAACTGTGAACAGCGTGCTTGAAACTGGGTGAGGAATTTGATCTTCTCTTTTCTATTTTACATTTAATTTCCTGGAAAAGATCCCCAAGAAGCAAAATACCTCCGAAAGGGAAGAGGGGGATTTCCGCCCCACCGTTATACTAACGGAAGCGGTGTTTTATGGAGGATCAAAATATGTGGAAGTAAAATAAATATAAAACCTGAAACTTAAAACTTAAATCTGGTTAAACTAAAATTGTTTTAATGGTTAAGACTCTCATTTCAAAGATAATTGTTCATTTTGGAAATTGAAAAACAAATAGTTGGTGACACTAGTGGCAGATGAAGACTATGACAGCTATGACTTTAATATAAGACTTGGCAAAATCTGGGAAAAGCTAATCTGTGTCTGTGACCTTCAAAGCTTTAACAACAAAGAACAGCTGTGACAAAAAAAAGACAATAATCTGGGCTGTAGACAGAGAGAATTATAAATTTCAGGAAAAAAATCTTCTTTGAACTATTTGGATTACAAATATCTATCTAATTGGGACTCTAAAGCTATTTACAGAGAAAAGAAAGGAAGAGGAAAACTCAAATTCTTGGCCATCATGGATCAGAGACATGTAGAAAGAACATATCAAAAAAACATAAATACGTCACAGGAGGAGATACATAGTATACTGCAACTAATTCAAACAACAATGACTTTAAACCACAAAGAAATCCAAAACAACTTTGAAAATATAAATCAATCTATTTCCAAGTTAACTCTATAACAAAAAAAATCCCAGAAAACAACAACAGAGAAGGAGCAAATAAAACAGATAAATGGATATAGAATTGAGAACAGAGACTTAAAGATGGAACTTAACAAAACAAGGAAACATGATTTAATTCTAGTGGAAAAATTTCACAAGAATTGGAAAAAACAACTTATCCCTTAAGACTACAAAATAAATCTGAGGACAAGAAAACAAATCGGATAAAATGGACTGTAGAGATGTCAGGAACATTGGAGAGAAAGGAAATGATAAGAGAAGCGAAGAGAAAGAAAAAGAAAAAGATTTTCAACAAACATGGAAAGGCAGAAGTCCCGTACAAAGACACTTCTCCTGATTTACTTTTTATATCTACAGCAACATTTACAAACATATGGAAAAACTTTTTGATTCAGCAAAATACATTGATTAAGAAAGACACTGGGAGAAAGAAAAAGACCAAAGTGGAAACTAAGAAAATAGATGATGGGACTTACCAGAGAGAATACTTAAAAAAGAAACATTTGTTTGAATATGGTTAAAAAAATAGAAACGTTTTGGAATATGTATGTCACTCTAAGAGGGATGAATTCTCTAAATATAATATATAGTATGCTTTTTTCCCTTTTTTGTTCTCTTTCTTGATATAAGTAATATAAAAAAGTTGAAATGACTTAGATAAAGGAAATGTTTTAGATATTTAAATGTGATTGAATCTAAGAAAATTATAATGGATAAAAATGTTTTGAATAAGAGTTAAGGGACTAAATAACTAGATGTATTAAATGGAATGTTTAAAGATTAAACATATTTTTAATTATGGTTAAAAAGAATAAGAAATTTAGGAAATAAATACATATTAGCTTAGGAGGGATATATATTTTAAGTAGTATGTTATTTTTTATGCTTCTTTACTCTTGCTTTTCTTTCTTTCTACTGTCTTATCTATTTCTTAAGTAATGTAATAGTGTGAGATGGTTCATATGGAAAAACAGTGTTAAATTCTTAAATGTAATTAATTTTTGAGAAAATCTTAACCAGTAAGAGTATCTAGAATTTGGTGAGAGAAACAAATTAAAATAAGGACTGTAACAGGATTTTGATAAGGCAACCGGAATGATTGGATAGAAAAGAAATATTATATTGATGTGATTATTATTTTTAGGACTATTGGGAAAAATATATATATTTAATTGTTATCTATCAAAACGATAAGAATTGTATTAACTCAATGTTTGCAAAAGAGGATATTTTGTGAAAAGAGGAAATCAACTAAAATTATGTGGATTATGGATTATAGAAATCAATTGTTAGTGATTGTTTTACAACACACTGTTCACCAATTATTAAGTGATTTATGTTTTTTAAAAAATCAATAAAATACATTACAAAAAAAAAACAAAAACAAATTCCAGGCTGTAAGCAGAGTTTGCGTGCAATATTGCACTTTAACCTCGGTGCCACCAGGATCAAGTTGCTGGCCCCTACTAAACAAGGAATATCTATCATTCCTTCTCCAACGAATGTAAATACAAACACTAATTCTCTTCTTGCTAATTATCCCAGCTTCAGGATGAGTCTTGCCAAATTTGGAAAAAAAAATCTGAGTTCAGTCAGTCCACAGCACTTGTTACCATCCAGTTGCCTCCTCTGAGAGAGATGGTACTGCATGAAGAATGCAAATTGCTTTTAAAATTGCTAATTATTACAGGAACTTCATCCTCATTTTTTCCAGGAAGAAGGAATTTCCAATTTGCTCCAGTCTTAAATCCAAAAGGATAAAGGGACTCTGCATGGTTTTTACATCCTAAAACAGGCCTTTATCTTTCAGCCAATGCTGTTATTATAAAAATTCTGGAAAAATATTTGTGATAGTCCTCCCCAAAACCTCACATACTAAATACCACGTCAGAAAGTATAATTCATTTAAATTAAAAAAGTGGGGGGGGGGCAAGGGGGAAGCTGGCAATTAAGTTAGCCTTCAAGTCCTGCCATCATCCATTCAAAGAGGTTGTTTCCGAATTCAGGTGTGTACCTAAGTCATTCACAGGCTGCATGGAAATTAATCAGGAAACAAGACACTGACTCTGTTTCTCCTATAGGTTCATCTTTACCACCACCTATAATCCTTCTTCTTTTAACAAATAGGCAGATGACCTTTCCTGAATGCCTGAAAATACAAAGGACTGCAAGAAAGCCCTTTGGCATTTCATACATCATTTGGGAAATGTTGCAGTTTTAGTGACAGATAGGATTTCTACAGCATTCAGATCTGTATATCAAACCAATTGCAGGGAACTCATCATCTTCTGGTGTAGGGATTGGTATATGCCTCATACATTTGAGTTTTTACAGCACCAAGATCAGGTATATATTCCAGTTCCATCAAGGAAGAGCTTTTGCATCTCTATTATGACAGCCTATAGGACATTTTGGACACTACAAGATGTTATTTTTCATAAGTTCTGGACTGCAGTCTTCTAACAGTACTCTGTACTCTGTTAGTTCTCAATAGGATTATTAGGGTGATTTTTTGTTGCCTTTGAGAATTTGGTTATAGTAATTTTGGTGCATGCCTTGGCACCAACACTTTTCTTTTGTTTGCTTGCTGTTTTTGTTTTGCCTCAGTTTTCTGTTCTTCAAGCCAACCAGAAATTGCAAACTCTCTAAAAGGTTAAATATCACAGGACCATCCAAGGAGCATTACAGATATGTTGTAGATCACCATTGACAAATGAGACCATGGTCTTGCTTTGAAAGAAGTCTTTACCCATTTAAGTCATCTTAAAAACTCAATACTTGTTATATGTGAGGTTTTTTCCCCCATTGTTGTGCAGGCTGGTCAAGTGGTTTTCACCTTCAAATCCCAGGCTACTCTTACATTCATCTGATATTCCATCATTCAATGTTTCGGCCCAAAGTTTGGAGTTTATCCTTTGCTCAACAAAAATCCCATGTTTTGTATTCAAATTTATTGCGGTATTTTCTGGATGGGAAATTTGAAATAGTTACATAATTTAAATATCTTAACATACTTTACTTATGCAAATTTTATTTATCATTGATTGTTGTCCTCTAGTTTTAAAATCCTTTTGTATGTATTTGTCAGTTGCTACTCTTTTAAAATATTCAAAGCACTAAAAATACTTTTCTTACTGGATGTCTTTGATGGTATGCTTAGAAACCTATTAAGTCTGTATTCTACAATACAGTACTGTTCCTTTTTATTTTCAGAAAAAAGCAAAAATTCATTATTATGATTATGGAGATAGCATATGTGAAGAAGGTGATATGCCACAAGGAATCCATTTAATTGTATCAGGAATGATTAAGGTAAGATATTTGTTGTTGTTAGTTGTGAAGTCGTGTCCGACCCATTGCGACCCCATGGACAATGTTCCTCCAGGTCTTTGTCCTCTACCATCTTCTGGAGTCCATTTAAGCTCACTCCTACTGCTTCAGTGACTCCATCCAGCCACCTCATTCTCTGTCGTCCCCTTTTTCTATTGCCCTCAATCTTTCCTAGCATTAGGCTCTTCTCCAGTGAGTCTTTCCTTTTCATTAGGTGGCCAAAGTATTTGAGTTTCAACTTCGGGATCTGGCCTTCTAAAGAGCAGTCGGGGTTGATCTCAACAAATACCCAGAAATATAACTGGGTATGAGGAAATTAATATTACTTAAAATTATTTTAGTAATACTGTATACAACGTGTAATTCACAATTGCTACTAGTCTGTAACCTATCTTGAAATTGAATGTTTTGTTGCTGGTCAAAGTTTTAGACTTCTTTGTTCTTTATTATTGTTTGCTATAATTAATGGCATCTAAAAAAGAGACTGGGTTTTGATCATGTAATTGACAAGAACTAGAATAACAGAGTTGGAAGGGACTTTGTGGATCATCTAGGCCAACCCCCCCATCCAAGGAGACCCTACACCATTTCTGACAGATAGCAGTCCAGTCTCTTCTTGAAAGCTTCCAGTGATGAAACTCCCACAACATCTGAAGGCAAATTGTTTCATTGGTTGATTGTTCTCACTGTCAGAAAATTTCTCCTTATTTCTAGATTGAATCTCTTCTTGATCAGTTTACATCCATTAGTGCTTGTCTGGCCTTCAGGTACTTTGGAAAATAGGTTGATCCCCTCCTCTCTGTGACAGTCCTTCAAATATTGGAACACTGCTATCATATCTCCCCTGGTCATTCTCTTCACTAGACTAGCCATGCTCGGTTCCTTTAACCATTCTTCATACATTTAGTCTCCAGTCCTCTAATCATCTTTGTTGCTCTTCTCTGCACTGTTTCTAGAGTCTCAACGTCTTTTTTATAGTGTGGAGACCAAAATTGGTTGCAGTATTCTAGGTGTGGTTTTACTAAGGCTTTATAGAATGGTATTAGTACCTCACATGATCTTGATTGAATCCCTGTTAATGCAACTTAGGATTGCATTGTCTTTTTTGGCTGCTGCTGCACACTGTTGGCTCATATTTAATTGATTGTCCACTAAGACTTCAAGATCCCTCTCACAGTTACTGCTATTAAGCCTGGTTTCACCCAATCTATATGTGTACTTTTGGTTTTTCTTGCCTAAGTGTAAGACTTTTTTCTACATTGAATTTATTTTGTTAGATAGGGCCCAGTGTTCTAGTCTGTCAAGATCCATCTGGATCTTCAGCCTATCATCTAGAGTGTTGGCTATTCCTGCCAGCTTAGTATCATCTGCAAATTTGATAAGTTCCCCTTCAATTAGCTCATCTAAGTCATTTATGAAGATATTGAAGAGTATTAGGTCTAAGACAGAACCCTTTGGTACCCCACTGCTTACTTCCCTCCATGTAGACTTAGTACCATTAAGGACTACTCGTTGAGTATGGTTTGTCAGCCAGTTACAAATCCATCTGATGGTGATGCTATCTGTCCCACTTTTTCTAGCTTTCCAAGAAGTAGGTTGTGGTCTACTTTATCAAATGATTGCTAAAGTCTAAGTATACTATATCCACAGCATTTTGCTGGTCTACTAATTTAGTCACTTGATCAAAGAATTGCAACCACTTTCTTGTTTTTATTGACATACACCCTCTCCGTTCACTGGATGTCCCTGTTTACTACTAGCTGTCTGATGAAAAGTACTGAAGAATTTAAAAACTTGTATGCTCATTTTGTCCTTTTGATTTATTCTAATAAAATGAGGATTTGGTTAATTCTATTCAACTGAGGATTTAGCACTTTTCTTTCCTTAACAGTAAGGTTTATTTTATTTTTATTGGATTGTTGATTGGGATAATTATTTGTTTGTTGTTATATGGAAGAAAATAATGCCTTTTTGTCACCTTGGCTATCATCCCATATATCTATAAAATTATTTTTGATAAAAGTAGTGATCTACATCTACATCCATCAGAATTAATTCCATGATCTCAAATATAAGATTTAATTAGTATCTTTGTTGTCACAATAGAACAAGGGGGCAATTCCAGTGAAACAGTTTGAGGCACTTTGTTAAATTCCTTATTTTCTGCTTCTTGCTGAGAAGCTTTCATTTTCTTCTCTTTTAGTCTTGATTCTGAAATATAGCAGTATCAATTATTTTTCGCTGTTTCTTTGCTCAGATGTTTTAAAATGTCTTGGTTGTCTTTTTTTATTCATATAACACACAATTATATCCATAATATAAGTTTAAAAATATATCAATTTATTTAGCTTATTACTTGATTAGTCTTGCAACCTTATCAATAAAATAAATTAAAATAAATAAAATAAAATGGAGTACATAGTCTAATTCTGGAATAAGACAGGAGGAAGTAGAGTAATAAAATACATATATGTTAGTATAAGGAGTCAGTAATCAGATAAATGAATCTCCCTTACAGAGTACACTAATGTATTCAATGTATCTGGTTCTTTAAGACCATTGACTTAGTTATAAATTTAGCAGTTCCGTGTACGATATGTACATTTGAGCCCAGGAGGAAATATGACAATATGTGGTTCAGATCTCAGAGGGCTGTTCTTTCCCATAGGGATAATAAGTATTTAAGCTTAACGGGAGTATATAATTGACAGTTGAACAAAATATGAGAAATATTTCAAATGGATGGGGTACCACCTATGCTGGTTCTCTCATAATTTGGCAAGTTGTGGAAGCATCCATATTTGACCAGAGCAAGATTTGAGTTGTTGGTCTCCATGGTCAGATATGGAGACTTCCACCACATATAGTCAGCAACAACTAGCAGAGTAAAATCCTTTATCTTTACCTAGGTCTCATTGGTACATGCTTTGGGGAACAAGTATGCAATTTTAAAAGTGTCTGCTTTATCATTGTCTTTCTGCATTTATTGCAGTATATCTCCCAGATGTATACTTGACTGTTAATAGTGTTAATAGTGAAATGAAATATGTGCAAATTATTGAAGCAGTGATGGCATGCTGGCAAGATGATCTCATATTGGTTCACATCATGGATATACAAGAAAGCTGGTTCTTCGTTAGTTCTTTGTCTGATTGGTCCTGTTTGAAGAAATTCCAAGAATACCAGCTCCTGATTAACCTGTCTTTGTGCCAGACTGCTGATTGGTTCCTTATCCGGAACCCTCACCAGAAAGAATACCTAGCAGCATCCTAACTCAAAAACAGTCCAGTCAGTAACCATAACTCTTGGAATTGTCAAAAATAATCCAATCAGAAGTCCAGCTATAGATGGACCAAAGAGAGACCAGCTTGCCAGGTTCACATATAAGAGCCTAGTCAGCCTAGCTCAGTTGCCTTTAGCTGCTAAGAGATACACCACAAAGCAGCCCACTCTGCTTCTGAAGATGTCAGTCACAACTGCTGCTGGAACATCAAAACAAAAGAAACTAGAGAGATCATGGCTATCCAGCCTAAAAGCTCATCATTGCTTCATTGATGCCAGCTGTGAAGACCTATACTAGTACATGCAAATTATTATTTTAACTATCTGCCTAAATTTAATTACTACTGTTTCTTTATACCTAGCTTTCTGGTACAGCCCCTTCTTATGGAGTTTCTAAAGAAATTAAAGATACTCTGAAAGACGTTGACAAAAATATTCCCAGAAGAATTCATAAACCTGTTACCTCTCACTACACAGATTACTTTGTGACTGGAGCTATGATAGGGGAGCTCAATTGCTTAACTAAGCAAGAAATGGAATTTGGAATTATTTGTGAAACTGCTGTGCAGGTTGGAGAATTCTACTTTATAAAATGATTTTACATAATATTAGAATTAAAGTTTTTGACTAACAAGAAATTATATGTAATTGTATAAAATGTGTGAAAGTTTTGTAATAGTAGTTCATATTTTTAAACCTGAATTCAAAAATATTTAAATCATTTAATCTTAACAAATGTTAAACAAAGCGTATTGAATTATCCAGTTTTGTTTTATATTATATTCCTGTTTGCTCCAATGCCCTAAAGTAAAAAAGATAAAATTATATCAGTGTGGGACAGTATAGAAAGCAGCAAATTATTGTGTCCATTGCACAAAATTAATTCATTTAATTTTTAAGCTGCTCTTAAAAATACTAAAATGTTGTTACAGAATTTTTGGCTGAGGAAATTACCTGAGATGTTTGTAATGATAGTCATAACTAGATTAGAAAAACAACTGATTCTCCATTTTCAATGCTTCCTACATAGCTGTGGATGTAAGGGTAAACTGGCTGTGACATGTGTCACCCTGTTGTTTGCCGATGTTGATCCAGCAGATCTGGTAGGCTACATTGGTGCCTGTCCCTTAGCATTTCATGTGTGTCCCTCCCAAAATTGTTTGCTCAATGGAAGTCAACACCATCCCAGACAAAAGGAATATACTAATTTTTGGTCAAGGGTACCGTATATAATATAAATTCTTTGTATAATTACTTTTAGATATTGTCTATTTGGGGATTATTCTTTGTGCTAACCACAAATTATATTGGCATTTTAGGTTACAATGACCAAAGAAGAAAAACTATTTCTAGGGAATTATTTCTTCCATCTAGAATGGAGGCATTGCCATTGAGTGGTTCCCTCCCTAGACATACTTTGCTTCTTGTAAAGAATGCAAGATGAAAATTAATTCCTTTGTTTTGTGGGACAATCTGGGAAGGGCACTGCAGGAGGAGGAAGACCTATATATTGCAGCATCTCCCCTCTTCTAAGCCATTTATCCCTGTCCTAGGTCTGTGGTTGAATTGCCAAGCATCTTGGCCTCCAGCTGCTGTTGCTAAAAGCCAAGTCTGCGTCGCTTTATGATACATTCTTGAAAGATATGCAGATCTTCCATGTATCCATGGGACCGTGCCTTGGTAAGGTCCCACTTAAAATACTGCATCCAGTTTTGGTCACCATGATATAAAAAAGATGTTGAGACTCTAGAAAGAGTACAGAGAAGAGCAACAAAGAAGATTAGGGGGCTGGAGGCTAAAACATATAAGGAACGGTTGCTGGAATTGGGCATGTCTAGTAACTAGTTTAATGAAGAGAATGACTAGGGATGACATGATAGCAGTGTTCTAATATCTCAGGAGTTGCCACAAGGCAGAAGAAGAAGCAATGGATGGAAACTAATCAAAAAGAGAAGCAACCTAGAACTAAGGAGAAATTTTCTGACAGAACAATTAATCAGTGGAACAACCTGCCTTCAGAAGCGGTGAATGCTCCAACACTGGAAGTTTTTAAGAAGAGACTGGACAGCCATTTGTCTGAAATGGTATAGGGTTTCCTGCCTGAGCAGAAAGTTGGACTAGAAGGTCCCTTCCAACATCATCATCATCATCATCATCATCATCATCATCATCATCATCATCATCATCATCATTATTACCTGGCTGGAGAGCAACAGGGATATAATCCTGTTGGGAAAATTCCAGCTGAGTTTCAGCTGCACCATAGCAGTTGCACCATAAAGATTGAGGAATGGACACCATTATATTTTAGAAATTATCTCAGTAGCAAGGACCAGTACCCTGGACATGACTGGATGCGAGTTCCTGTGTATGGAAGAACCTAAGGCTGTTGGTAGTGTACCAACCCCCTAATTGCCCGGCAGTTATTCATCCAGAATTGAATATAATGTTATTTTATATTTGTAAACTTCTCAGAGCTGTCTCTGACAAGATGGGTAGCACATGGATTTAATAAATAAATGAAATAACAGGAAAAAAAATAGCTGCGGATTGCATGAAAATATTTTTTGTACTATAAAATTATGGTTTTGACTAATTTTTTTTTTAAGATCTCCACCGTATTGTTTTTTACGTTAATAAAAGGACAAACTAGATAAGCAAAGCAAACTTAACAATTAAAATCTCCCCCAAAGGAATACAAACTACTGAGTTTCTAATTTCCCCTTTTTATACATCTACTAATGTATAATATTTGTAGATGTTTAGCCCCCCCTTAGAAACTAGATTTTAAGTTATTATATTTGCGATACTGCATGATGTATTCTATGTATGGGACTCCTTCTTGCTTAAATTTGGTTAAACATCTGTTATGAATAGTTAGATTTGCCTTTGCTGCATATTCTCCAAGTTTAAGTTCTCAGTCAGATATTGTTGAAATTGTTATCTTTCAGTTTTGGCAAAAATTTATTCTCACAGATCTCTTTTCATTAAATTATGTTTCTTGCTGACTTTTTCTGAGATTATACACAGTAAGAAAAGTTGTGGTTCCATTTTAAATTTTTGTATTATTTATCTTATTTTTTTTAATTAAAATTATATTCCGCCCATCTCTACAAAGTGACTCTGTGAGGCTTTAATCTTTTTTTACATGTCCACCACATGTGATACAACATTCTTTACGTTTTATGACATTTCCAACATTTATTACTGTATGATTTGTTTATCTCAGGTATTATTAATGGATTTGTGTGCCAGCTGTAGAAGATTTTGTACTAGCTTTCCTATAAGTTATAACGATGTGCATTTTATAGATTTAGTCCATAATTTCTTCCCATTATTCTATCATAACTTTTTCTTTAAAATATTTACATCCATTTTACCACTCATTGTTTTGTTTGTTCTTTATTTGTATCATAGCTGAGTAAACATTTATAAATGCGCCCTAACAGATGGTGATGGGTTTGTATGAGCATGTTAAATTCCATCTTTGAAATTTTTGCCCCTTCTCTCCTGCCCACCATTCTCCAATCTTGCAGAGTGGAGGAAGAATTTGAAGCTGAAAATATTTTGGATTCCTGACACAGAAGTGAGAGACTAAAATCTTTGATTACTTGGAAGGACTATCTAGACACAAAACGTTTGTCATGGTTCCGACAGACAGAGACAAATAAGGCAGAACTAATACTTAGTTACAAAGTATTAGTTACAAAGTATCAGCACTTCAAAAAAAATGGAAAGCAGCTATTAAAATCCCTTACTTTTTTCAACAGTTGTATCTGCAGTATCTTCACAAGTTCAAACCACCTGACTGTCCATCCATTTTGGCTTCATGTTTGGGGAAAGGAAGAAACACATTAGTATGACTTTTGAATAAGATAGAGACTAACCAACCTGAAGCTGAGAGAAGCAAATCCTCTTCCACCCTTCCTTTTCCCCAATTTTGACTTCAAAATAAAGTGGAATATGACAAATTGCTTTATATTTTTATTTGCTCTGCATACTTTTGACTTCAAAAGTAATGCCACCCCGAGTAAGCTTTTGTTAAGTGAGTAGTTATGACTAAATTCCTTGAAGAATTATTCAAGGATTTAATTAAAACGTAGCAAGCAACTCTCATACTGGAAGAACTTTGATTTTTGGATCCTCTTCTTCCTCTCTGAAATATATGCCAGGTAGACATCCAATGTTACGCTGTCTTACTCCTTGCATGGCGGCTTTTGTGTCAACTCCTCTGATTATCTTCCATCCTCCATAAATTTCCATATCTTCAGCAGTCTGAAACTACATAAATATAACTTTGCTTGCTAGCCATCTTCTCATTTTCTCTCTCTCAGTCCAATAGAAGCTCTTCCCCTATCAGCTCCTTATGTCATTTCAATTTATCCTACTCTCTTGTGAGTAGTTTATGTGCACGGACATTTGTGAAGAACCTCATGTTTATCTCAATTACAAGTACAGCTTGTATTGTGTGGTAGTTCTCATGACAGGATGGTACATAATGTTTTTCACACGGGGTATGGAAAGGACAAGATTTTGTGAAGTTCACTAAAGATGAAATTGAAATTGAAGTAATACAGTTGCCCAAATACAAGGTACAATGATAGTTGTAATTGTCTCATGGGCTTGGTTTATTCTTTTTTCCCCCAGACGTGTTTCATCTCTATTAATGACTTGTTTGAAGCTTTTGATACATTTTTGGACCCACCCTCCCTGGAATATAAAATATGGTTAAAAATTGCTCTTGATGTTGCTCTTAAAACCTTTAAAGAAAGTCTTCCAAATCTGGTAGGCATGTCTGCAGCTTTCTTATAGTTCTAGTGTAAGTTGTTTTGCTGATTCTCTTACTTAAACTGTGTTGCAACTGAAATAGACTTATCAATGAAGAAGCTGAGAATTTTAATAATTGGTGTAGCTAGCAAACCTTGTCAATATTTATAGATACAGTAGTGACATGTGAATAACCAGATTCACTGGTTCCTAGATGATATTGGATCAGATTTTTATATCTCTGCTAGTTAAGTATATGGAAGATGGAGAGAGAGGCCAATAAACTATAGTTTTGAATTAAATACAGTTTGGGAAAGGCTGGAATGCTTTTGGATAGCTACTGTTTTAATATAAACTGTTACAAAATGCTGTGATTTGCCAGTGGTAATTCCTTCAAACAAGAAAATACTGTTGAGTGATGCTGTAGGATATCTCACAGGATATCTCAGTTATAGGGTGCATTGCATTGAAATAATCCCTATTAAAGGAATCCTTCCTGCCCTGGTGGAAGATCAGAAAGCAAAAAAACCCCATAATCCTAGATTGATAAAAGTGAGATACTTGGGGGAAAAAAGGGGAAAGAGCAAAAGTCTGAATTATATATGGTTATGAAATTGACATATTTATAGAATACTGAAGAACATTAATATTATAAAGAACAGCTTATTGTTTAAATGTATGAATTTAAATGGAGTCATAACATTTAGGTTTGTATATGGGGATGACAGTCTCCTCATCTTACTGAACAAATATATGTCTTTGAGTACAGAATGGAATTGATATAGTTTTTAATTGTGGTTTGGGGGTGGGCCTAATATAAGCCCTACTCCAAAAATAAGCCCTAGTTAGGGGGTGAGGCACATACCTAAAAATCAAGCTAGGGTGGGGGTGGAGCTTATCACTGTAGCCAGGCCTCCCATGGATTGACACGTGCCTCTCTGGCCCACTCTAGAAGGCCTGTGCAGCTGAGAACCGAGCTATGAATTCAATCTATAGCTCAGTTCTTGGCGGCACAGGCCTTCTGGAATGGCCTCTAATGGTAAAATGCAGGCCAGAGCTCCATTCTCAGCTGCAGAATGAAGCTGCTCCTTCAGCCACAGAAGAAGTGGGCTGGCTGGGTGGGCCTATTGGTATCACCACTGTGAGGTGAGTGGAAAAGACCCTCCACCCAAAATAAGACCTGGTGCCTCTTTTGGAGGAAAAAAAAAAAGACCAGGTCCTATTTTGGGAAAAACATGGTATGTCTTACATTTGTTGATTAAATATCTAAAATTTGAGGACTAGAATATCTAAGGGCTCTTAACTGGAAAATTCTGGTTATACTCAAGGTATGATTTAGGGCAGAGGTCCCCAACCTTTTGGGCACTAGGGACTGGTTTTGTGAAGAAAGGTTCTTCCATGGACCAGCGAGTGCATGGTTTTGTGTGCTGCCTGCATCTCATGGATGGGGCTTTGCTTGTTTGTGCAGACCAGTTGCTGGCATGTTGCCGCCCGGGAGTTGGGGACCCCTGATTTAGGGTACAAGTCTAGGAAATAATTTAAGTAAATGTATAAGGGATAGGGAGCCTATAAATCTAGTACATAAATAAATACACAATAACATTTACTGATGTTTTGATGGTTCATCCAAAGTATAAAATAATGAGCAGAGCAAGGCAACACATTAAAATATTTCAAAATACTTTTGAGTGCAATAAACATTTTGGACATGGATATGTAGTTATCAAGAATTAAGCTTGATTCAAGGGAAATTCTTTGTCCTGCATAAAAATCTTGAATTATAGCCAAGCTACAATTTTTATAAATGTTCATCTAATTCATATATGTCTTTGGTGTATACAGGATTGGTCATACAAAATGTGTGTGCAGTTTTCTAATACATATGTTGTGGATGTACCAAATCACACTAAATGTGATATTTATGACGAAGCTATGGATGAGGTAATTCTTGTACATGGAACTGTGCAGGATTGTCAGTCTGGGGAGCCTTATTGGGCACCATACATTTTACCTAAAACCTGCCACCAGGTAAGAAATACTTTTATAGCTAGCCAATAATTATGTAATTTATAACAATTAGTAAGCTGACTAGGGGAGCAAACAACTTGGAAAGCATAACAAAATAAAATTAAAGAATGGATGGAATACTTTTGATATTTTGTTTTCATTTTTATGTTTCAGCACCTGGCCAGTGAATTAAAAGAACAGTAACATCAGTATGATGACAGTTTGCTGCTTAGGATTAAATATTTATTTGCAAAATGTACTGGCGTCCAAAGAGTCAAATATAGCTCAATAATCATTATAAATAGAGCTCACTGCATTGATTCTATAGGAATGAATTCTTGTGATTTTCCCAATAACTTATTAAGATACTCTTCCAGGTACAAGGTACTTCAACCTCAACAAAATTATTAATTATACGAACTGAAGAAACAGTAGAGCGGAAGAGCACAGAAACAACTCTTAGTATATGCCAGTATCACTCAAGACAGAGATTTGGTGAGGAGGAACTTAAAATCCTTGGTATCAGAGAATTTAATTGAAATTATAGTCCTCTTCTCTTACTTTCTACCTTTCCCAGCATTATAAACCTCTCAGGAGAGCTGGGTCCTTTCATACTGTGGGAGGAAAGAGAGAGAAAAAGACAACCATTAGCAAAGTGCATGGACTCAATTACCGCAGTGATGGGTGCACCACTGGAAGACCTGAAGAGTCTAGAGAAAACTTATCTATGTGGTCACTAAGAGCTGACACTGACTTGATGGCACATAATAAATCAATTATATGTTTAAATTCAAGTATAGCTAGTATATAATCTATGTTATTTATTAAAAGTCAAGCTCTGTGAGGTTGCTTTTATTGAATAACTGAACATTCTAATCATCTCATATAATTTAAAGTGATTCAGGGTTTTTGATTTTTTTTTTCCCTGAGAAAGAATGAATGTAGCCAGGCATTATATTTGCCACTATTTGTCTCCTGAGAGCAAAATTATAAGTTGATTTGTAGCAAAATTATGGCAAAATTCTTTTATAGTATGTGCTTGGATCGTAAGTATTAATGCCTGTGTTAAAGTTATTGTCTGTATTAGATTTTATTCCCAGGCAAATGTGTGTTTAATTATAGACTTAAACCTTTATTATTTCTAAGGCACACATTTTCAGCTGTGGTTGATGGGAAATAATTATTTGAAAAATATTTTAACAATAGGTGAAATAATTTCACCTGCAATTCAAAGAAATTATTACACTAATTATAAATCTATCAAAAACTACTTATTTATGCTTAAAGTAAGATTATTTTTATAGCAGTTATTTAAATTGTACTTTTGGCTTCCAAACACATGAGAAAATCTATGACATAGGTTGACTTTTTTTTTTTTTTTTTTTGGTGTTACCTTTGAGCCAATCTTGACTCCTGGCAACTTCCTGAACAAGTCGATTTAAACTTTAAGATCTCTGAGATCTTAAATACTCTCAGTTTCTAGCCTGTGTCTACCGAATTCACTATCTGAGACAAATTTAACTAATGCAATATGCTATCCAAAAACAAAACAATCAGTATAACTGTATGTATTTTTTGTAGCTTATAAACACAAAAGTAAGATTTAAAGGGACACCATATATAAATATCAGTTTAGTTTTTTAAAATTATTTTGGAAATGTTCAGAGATAACTAAAGAGAATGAATATTGGAAAATTTTGTGTTTCAATATTCTGCAAATCTGCTTATCTATTGGAAGTTTTAAAATAAATTCAGTTGACTTTCAAATGTATTTGTCTTAAATATATAGGAACCTTCGAACAAATTTTTACTTTGGAACGTAGCAGCCAAGACACATTAATAGATGATGTAGTAAGTATGCATATTGCATTTATTCAGAAGTATGTATGCATAAGGATGCCTAGGTCATCACGTCAGCCTGCTTTGGGTGATTGGTGAAGATTAAAGAGTCTCTTTATACTGGCTATAAAATTAAAAGAAAACTTCCTTGTTTTATCTTCCCAGCATGATTTGGGAGACTCCTAATTAGCGACGTTTCGATGAAATCACATTCATCATCATCAGGCTTGTGCTTTTAGCTTTGTGCTTCTCAGAGTAATATGAAATGTCTGCTGTTTCTTTCTTTTAACTGCCAGTGGGGTTTGAACTGAGGGGGCGGGGACTTGGTCGTGTTCTGAATGGGTGGACGTGTGCTTAACCAATCAGAGCACACGTCCACCCATTCAGAACACGACCAAGTCCCCGCCCCCTC